GCTTTGACAAACAGAGGGCTCTTCCGGACTACCACTGGAGTAAAACCTGCACAATATCAGATGATCTTCCCGCTAGAGAATGGATCCTCTACAACCCACCTATGGATAGTTCTTGTATCCTCTGATGGTGAATATTATCAAATGGCAGAAATAAGTCATTCAAATGGCGACGATTAATATCTTATATTTCTAGTTATACCTTTTCACCATCATCTACCAACCTCTTTGTTCCCAATCGCAGACCTGAACCCGGGATGCCGGCATAGAAACAGCTTCATCCCTACGTGGAGGAAGAATAATCATGACGCCCGTTTCTTCGCTTTTTCAAATTTGAATTCAATGGTCATTACGAACATTCCCGCAGATGACGTCTGTACTGTCATTTCCTATACGGAATGCTCCAGCTCGTCGAGGGGTATCCTGGCGAGTCACGGCACATTGTGGTCTCTTGCAAAACCGCTTTTCTTAGAACCCAAGGAAAGATCTAATATTAGGGATCAGAAATGGTTAAATCTAAGTTCCCTCGCTTTCTGGAGGTGCGACCGTTTAACGCAGTGTCCTCGACACCGTAAAGCTTCATCTTTTGGGAAAGCAAGCGGTATCTTATTCTAAGAAAATCCGAAGATGGAACGATCATCTTGTATCAGCTGTTAATCTCCTTATTTAAGAACAGGGCATGTTTGAGGCATGTTTGGGCGAGAAGGGATCTAACCCAATGAGTCCTCAAGCCTCATTCAAAGGTCTACGCGGGTAATAGGAATTCGAATGATTGGGAAATAGTCCTCGGGTGTCGACTACTGTCTGCTAGGCCTCACTAAAGAAGATATTAAAAAGCAAAGAGGCGGACCACTTTCGAATAAGTCAGGTCTTACACCCGAGGGCCTTGCGGCAGGCTCCTCTTCCATCAAAAACAAAAAGAATGCTCTGTTTGGGATTTGAACCCACACCTCCCAAATCGCTTCATAACGTTTTAAGGTTATTAATCATAGGGCGAGCTCACCAATTACACCACCAGAGCTTGAATGTATTAGTGTTTTGGTCATAGATAACCTTGATCAAACTTAATCTAGGAGAGGTTCTTCCCTCCATTTAATGTCGACACACTTCCGCAACAGTGTAAGGTGGTCTACTGTGAACTCAGGTGACCCTTGTAGAATGGTACGTAAATACTTATGTAACCCTCGAATGTCAGCTGCTGTCTGCCAGGCCTTACTAAGAAAGATGCTTTAGAAAGCAATGCAAAGGAGGAAATCAGTCTCGAATGAGTGTGGTTGTACATTGGACGGCCTTGCGGAAGGCTTCGTTTCCATCAGAACAAAAAGAATGCTCCGTCTGGGATTTGAACCCATACCTCCCAAATCGCTTCATAACTTTTTAAGGTTATTAATCATAGGGCGAGCTCGCCAATTACACTACCAGAGCTTGGATGTATTTGTGTTTGGGTCTTAGATAACCTGGTAGTAATGAGTCTGGATGTCCTATGTTGCCATTAAATCTCGATGCAGCCCAGAAATAGCTCAAGGTATGTAGTCTACTGAGAACCCACTCCCTTGTGGCAAGGTATGAGCATCCTTTACTACCAAAGACAGCTCTGTGAGATTCACAAACCCACGTATAATTGGTAATACTGATAAAAATGGCCTAGCATCATTACCAACTCTCATGGAATATATATTCAAAGATAATAATTCCAGAAGTTTTATGTAGGAGCTAGAGAGAGCCAGCGGGTTGAAACTCTCCTCACCGTGCCCCGACCTTTTTCGAAAGTCTCGAGAAGTGACCTGCAGGAGTGCTGAGTTATAGTTATCTTAATAAATCAAAATCACTCCAACGTCCACCTAAGTACTTGACCAAGTGGGTTGCCTTATGTTGTTGTGGATTTTTGAGGTAATCATAAGCCTTCATACAGCAGTCGGTATAAGTTAAGAATGACAACGATTATGTGCTAAGATCGAGTGATATTTTGTGTTTACGGTCCACAGTCTTAATCATCCAATACTATGACAATCTTCTTTCCGAAAAATATCCTGACGCTTGAAGAAGGAGCGTTTGATTCAAAGGGGTGACGCCCTATGTAATCTCAGAGAAGCCTTCCCTATGAGAGGTTTACGTCATGTGGCCTAAGGTCGTTTCCGTTGGGACTTATGATAAAAGCCTGTAATATTGTGAAAGTCTGTTTCACTAGTTTCGTGTGACCTGCCATGACCTCCCTCTCGAGCCTCGAGCGTTCATATCTAGCAGCCCTTTCCGATTTGACTGGGACAATATATTAATCGATGTGGTGATGCTGATCATTTAGAGATACTTATAGGAGAGCATAAAATATCTTAGTTTGTTCGGTATTAATTCACAGGAAACTCAATCAACTTGATTATGCAATCATTGGGTTCAGTCATATCCCATCACTCGTTTTCCGCCATTGTTGTGTTTAGCAATTGATCATTCATATTCTGCTTGATTCATTAGATTACTTTGTATACAGTGCATATATTTCAGAGGGATTCTTGAAACATATCCACTAACTACATAGTCATTCAAAGGACAGTGTGTGTAGAGGGTCAGTGGACATAGTATTGATCGAGACTGGTAGAAAACTATTTGCGTCCACACACCTATTTCTCGCGGTATAGATCGTACGGAAGTCACGCACGTAGCCGCTGTATCAGAACGACTAATTGTCCTAACTGCTAAATTATCTATATTTCTTTATCTTGGTAATGGGCGTAGCTATTATCAAAGCTTTCTAGATGGCAATTCAGTTGAAAGTCTCAGAACCTATTTAAAAGCCGAGGGACGCAAAGAAGCAAAGAATGGAAATCTTCTCGATTGGCAGAGCTAGTTGCGGAGAAAGAATATTATGCCTGGCCTAACATAAACAGAACACTGTATGTATCATGTTTGCTTCGGCTCAAGGCAAGCCTGTCTTACTTTACCAAACAGGCCAGATGCGGCTTAACCATTGACCAACTCTGTCGCTATAATTTACATTTATATTCACGTGACGTACACTGTTGGGGCGATGCAATACTGAGAATTACATTTGTATGTACATGTATATTCACATACCCTATTGAGAAGGCGCATCTGTAGTCCTTAACACCATCCGAGTCATCATTTCTATACACTAAAACTATTGGAAAGAAGCAGGCTTAAGAGGAATTAAGCGAGCTCCCAGCAAATTTGAAACTGGTATAGCACAATCTCTCGCTCGCTATGACAGCCCTTGAGGGCTCTAATATCTTTGTGAAACATCTTTCTTTATCCATTGAACAATCCGATATTTATCTCCCTTTGTATCGTTTAGAGCAACAGACATACTTTGAATAGGATCAAGAAGTACGTGTAACACATTGCATACTAGCCTAGGAGGAAACAGAATTTATAAGTACAGCGTGGTCGTAGTATGAGTTGCAGGCTATTTGATGGGGGCAGAAAAATGACGAAATAACACTCCCTGTGTCATTTCTATCCATCCGGAGCTAGTCCGTACCACGTATGTATTCCATTCAACGTAATTCTTCCACCGCCTCTTTGAAGCCATTCGGACATCCCAGGACGAAAACAGCAAAACTCGGATTTAAGATTGGCTAATACATAGCGTGAGCTATTCCAACTATAAAGAAGAAGGGTCTAGATGAACTGATAAACAAGATTCAATAAGCTCTAAAGAATGGTTGTGCCTTGAAAGCGTGCGGTTATGAAAGGCTTCTTTCTTTTCAAGTCTTCATTGCCAAATCAATACTTATACATGAAACAGTAAAGCTTCATGCCAAGAGGTCGAGGCAACTCGAGAGGTAAAAAAAAGGAAGTTACTATGAGATGTGAGTGTGAATGCTCTAGAAGGATCGGGGAACTTTCTACGTCGCCTCTACAACAGTAATATCAGCGTCTTGTGAGCGGGTATCACCGCGCTGGCGTTGTAACCTGGGTCAATCTTATCTCCGCACGGACCATATCGGATTTCTCCGCTTCACCAAAAGTGACTCGAATTATTCCGCGGTACTAGGCCAGTATTTCGTGTCTCGTGATGCATGGTTTGCTTTGCATACATGTATGCTTCTAGCCCACAGTACCAAGGTGATATGGTAAATGTGAGCATATGATGCTATTCCGATTCAAGATAGTTCATTCAATTCGTCCTGTATACCAAAGAGAATGGGGGTGTCCCCAGAGCCTTTGACATGGCCAGTAATCTTTTGAAAGCTACAAGGCACTGAAATCACAACAATTGTCTCTGCGTCAATGTTGAGCATTGTACCCTGGGTTTCTATCACCGGCTCTAGGGAATGATTCTTCCAATGTATATTCCAACTTTCTTTTCCAATCTTTCTATCCTGACTTTATCACTGCCGAGGAAACAAGTATCCTAGTTATTGATGGTAAGAATATTAATTCTTTCGATGATCATGTCTTCGTGAAGGAATCTGGGCGGCCATGCGCGAAGATTCTAGTTAGATGATTGTGTGATCAGTCTAGGAACTTTAAGATTATGTCTATCTCAAAGCCTCTCCGTAAATCGAGGAATTAGGATATTTGGTTTGGCCAGACGTGTATGTTAACTTGTGTACGCGTACCCGCATTTCGATCTTACACTTTTGATTCAGCCGAAACCCCCGTCACCGCTGGTGGGCTCAGCCCTACAGCAGACAGTTACTAGGATGATTCTCTTCCATTATCGGCCACGGTTTACAGTCTCGAGACTCTCCTAAAGATGGTGAAAGGTTTGTTTTCATCGCACACACACCAGACTTCATATTCAAAAGAATTAGTGTTATTAATTGATGAGAATCGTACATACATGTAGCCTTATATTTATCTCGAGATACGAATTCTACTCATGCTTGTTAAGATAGGGCGTAGTGTTACATATTTATACATGTACTTATAAGTGGCATGGGATGCTCATTCTTTTCACAAGCGTGTATATGCCGTAGGACTAGATCGATTGCAGTAACAAGCTTGAATCTGAGAGGGGAATCTTTACTCAAGACGACTAAGCAATGTCATATGCTCAACAACTAAGAAAGTTCATATCCTCGCCGACTAAGCGTAACAACTCTGCCCAAGTCACTTCGAATGTTGCTAGTCCTGCCATAATCCCCACCATCATCCGTAATCACCAACACATATCACTGCTTCAATCCATACGAGGCTCGACGAGAATGGAGATTTCCCAAATATCCTCCTCGGATATAATGAGAATCAATGATCTCGTAAGTTGCTGATACCTCCGTCGCTCAATCAAGGAGTATTTCATGATGAACTCTAACTTATTCGTTCTACAGCACAAGGACGACGAGATCGTGTTTCGAGGCCGTCGTGCATCGAGAATTCCCATCATCATCGTAACTGACTACTCATTTTTACGTGGCGAGTTTGATAAAATGAGTTATGATCCCGCCACCGACGATGATAAATCGGATGTATCAATGGACAGACAATCTAAGGAGAAAGACTCTCGTCCTTCTTCTTCACCAACAAGCATCTATTCTCTTGTAGCGTCGTCAGAGGGAGGTGTCCCGGTATCTAGTAGCACCGTTCGTTCAGACTCCCTTTCTGCCTCATACAGACAATTGGTCTCGCCGATGACCTCAAGTAAGGCATCCACAATTGGTAACTCAGTCTTCAGTTGCCCCCCTTTCTCTTGAGCCAACTTATGTTAACTTTAGTGCCTTTGGTTGTCATAGAGGGCACAAGTAGTGGTTACTCTGGGAGTGACAATGGCTCTGCTTCAACTAGGTCGGCGGCCAAGTTGGCCGATATGTGTCACACCGACATAGTTGCAGCACACAGTATGACCTGGCACGATTCTAACCGCTCCCAACAGGGAGACACGCGCAGCAAAGACCGCAAGTCTCAAGGTGAGGCAAAACAGTCATGATAGAGATTTCTGTGTATTATGTAGTTAGCTGACTTCTATACGAAGAAGATCACACAGACGGCGATTGTCATGGCAGGGTCTTGCTACTTATTGTCGAAGATTATTTTGGGACTCCAGCCTCGCTCCAAGTAGGGTTGAATGAGCGTATCCGGATGTGGATGATCGATGCTGCAGCTGGGCTAGACGCCCTACCGCACTACGGTAAGCAGATCTCAGTTGTAAATGCAATAGAAACTGATATACAGTAGCTATTATAGATCCGGAAACCCTTGAGTCCTGCTCTAAATAGATGAATGACACGATATCGGTGTAGAATACTGCTGTTTTGGTTTCGTTTGAGGTCGTTATTACAACGGTATGTTGTCAGCTTGGTTTGTTCTCGGTCGGAGTTTTACGTAACTAACAATGCCCAATTCTTTGTAGAACTTGGGTACAAAGTAGACTGTACTTAGAAGGGCTAAGTCATACATGTATATGGTTCAAAATGGCCTATCATAACGCTCAATTCCAATAAAAAAACACTGATCTCTATTATTTACGGCCAAAAGTGTGGAAATGGGCTTTGTATACGTATATGTAGTGATAGAAGAATGTGTGGGGAAGGTATGAACTTGGATCCTACATGTACTTTACACCGTAGAAATTCTCTAACTTCGGAATATCTCACCATATAACCCTATAGTATGCTACATGTAACTTCGCCCAGGTTGGGGGTATTATATCAAAAGCTGGATCTGATACATCTAACGTAGACCTGCGTAAGCCAAAACTAAATGTGTATTCCAAGTCACATCCGCGACTAACTTGATTACATATATATGTGTATACATCTATGGGTTCGATGTTCCCATGGCGTATACTGATTCCCAACTTGATCGATTATAGATTCATATCAGTAGGTTCTGTTTACCCAACTAACATTACCCGCACTACCTCCAATTTGGATCGACTGATAAATTGCAGGAAAGAAAACCTTCTCATTGTGGTATATGTGGTGTGGAGATCATATATTCTCACTCGAAGTGATCAATAAATTCCAAACCTATCCCTTCCATCATGACCAGCTCATTCACCCTACCACATCACCCCACCATCAATCTTCAACAACACACGTTAAAACCACACAACAGCACCACGTACCCGCGCCTCGGCGATACCTAAACTTGACAATAATGCCACCTTGGAGCGGCGAAGTTCCCCCGGGATATATTGACCCCAGCCTACTCTTCCTCGGTGCCGACGGTCAGGTATACCTCCGCACCCAAGAAGGACCGCACCCCTCTGAGGCAGACCACAGTTCATCTCACGAAAGCGTCTCTTCATCTAACACCGACAACAACAGTAGCAACGAACACCGCACTCACCGCGTGAACCAACTCCACGACGCAGCGCAGGCTTTCGATTGGAACATGGACGCTGTCTTTGCATATGACGCCCAAATTCGCGCCGAGCAGGCCCTCCGCCATCAACGGACTATCGAGATTGCTCGTCAGATTTACGCAGCGCGAATCGGACACATCCCCCACCCTGAAGACTCGTACCACAATACCCCAGCCGAGACCAGAGTCATACCATGGCCTGCATCGGAGAGGTCTCTCACTGATGTGATCGAGCTTCTACAATTTGAGAAAAGTATCACCCGTGTGGGTTGTCAGAGGTGGGAGGTGATTAGAGCGTGGCTTGGATGGGCGGTGGCTTCGAAAGAGAAGAGGCATACGATTCAGCTGGACCAAATAAGGAATGTGTATCGCTTCATGGATCAAGGGATGGATGAGAATGATCGAGCAGATCAAATAGATACCGATGGTATTGAAGATTTCAAAATGGAGGTCGACGGATCTGAAGTTGAGGAAAGCTATCCCACTGAGACGGACGGCGTTATTATCGGACAGCCAGACCTTGGCAGATAGGTCTCATCCAGCTTACTTTCCAACGTAATGAACACCAGAGAACCCCCTCCTTTCAAATATCTCCTATACTAACAAGTATAGGTAGTCCCAACGACCGGGCGAAGACAACCACTATTTCAGCTTCACTTCCCAATGAAAGGGGAAAATGTTATATCTGTATAACAACCCGTATAATGAATAAAAATAATACACGCAGCCTGCTAGTGCCAAAATTCATCATACGTTCCGATGCTCACGTATCTTACTCGTCACTTTTCTGGAACTAGAGCTTGTCTTTCACTTCGAGGGGATAAAAGGGTATACAGGTTATCTTCAGGTAAGAGAAAAAGGGTTATATTGCTACCATCGACCTTTGTCCTTTTCCGTCTCACTCATTAAACTTTCAACAATGTTTCCCTTTGTCTTCTTTTTATTTGCCTCGCATCTAGATCGGATCGTGGGGGGGGTTACCTGTTGGCAAGATAGTGACTGGTGGATTACATTGTTAGAAATTTTGAAAATGCCACGCCCTCAGAAAGTCCTGTATACCTTTACTACATATGTGTAGTTTTATACCTATGTTTCTTTTTATCAAAGTCATAAATCACACAAAGCACCGCCAGGACTGATCTAAATAGGATAGGTACTGGAAAGATGATAAAAGAATACAATTAGAGATTAGCAAAGCACGTTAATATTATTATCCTCACCTGTTTTCCCCAATAATATTAGAGGGCATGCTCCAAATTTACTATAAATCTGTGTAATTTAGAGAGCACGAGGCAGGGGCCAGCAGAAGCTCTGATCAGGAAGGAGACCTTAATATTAGAAGCATTTTCTGATACGTCTGTTGGCTTCCTAGGGTAGCTTTTCGAATGCCTTTTCCACATTAGAAGCCTGGATATAGACTTGATGGTCTTCTGGAGGTATAAGATTCGACCAAGAGATATTATCGGGCCTTCGGAATTTGGTACCGCTGCCTGCCTCACCTGCAAATAGACTAACATCGAGGGCCAACTAACTCACCTGCCCTGGGTGTCGGTTATGGGGGCGCCAAAATATTAACCTTATGAGTTTAAATTTATCATGTGACTTTTGCCATTGGCTTACTGCTAGTGTAGTCTCAGCCGCCCTTGTCCCTAACCAAGCGATTTTATTGGCCGAGTTCCTTCACTGTACATCAATTGTCAGAGCGACTTTAAATTTCGTTTATCTTAACATGTCTCCACCGCACCAGCGCCGCCCACAACAAACCATCACCATGACCACTTCAAGTGACAGCTCCAGCGTCGCTGCGAGTCTCTCGGCTTTCCGAACCTTCGAGTTAATGCAGCTGGATGGTAGGTATCTTCCATCCGACAGTCCTGACGCAGTATCAGAGGTACGTACTTCAAAAGAGAAAAGCAATGGTTGAGGAAACCTACTCACCGTGGTTTGCTAACCCCACCACAGAATATCCACGATTCGAAAGGATTCCCGGCCTGCAGTAACCATGCTGGTACCCCCAAGACCTCTCCAACCCAGAACAAAGGGTGCGGGGTTCTTGCGAGCAAGATTCAACACAGATCAGCTGTAGATCACACTTCAGTTACACCACATTCTTTGGTATATCAGCAGGCACGACGAGAAAACTTTCATCGCAGGATTCTGAGCTACCCACCAGCAACTCTACCTACCCCTCCTACTGCACATCAACTGCGAGATTTCATGCGCCAGAAGGGAAGCCATCATAGCGTTGAATATGAACATAGCGGTTCTTATCATTATGAAGATCCAATCCTCGACAATGCCCCCAGAATGCCCCGTTCTGACCGGCTAATACAGGATGCACTGGCAAAGCAACATCGTACGGCCAACGTACCCCAAGAGGAATCCTCTATCTCAAAGTCTCAGCCCTCCCTGAAGGACAAGGACGCGGGCACTCGGAACCCTTACCCCTCCAATAAAACGTACACTATGTTGGAGTGGCCCAGAGATCCCAATATCATCAAACAGGCAGACGCGGAGCGCATGCTTTCCTGGTCAGAACCACCTCGCAACACTCGTAGCGCCCATGGAAGACTCTCGAATCCACCTATCCCTAAATTCGCCGCCCCGCATTCCCGAAAGGTAGATTCTCATCCTAGATATGCAGAGAACATTAGAAACACGACGCTCGCCAGGCAGGGTGGCGTCCACCCTAACATGACTGTTAACACCAATCGTCCTCAAAGTAAGTAACTTCACAGTCAGGTATCGTTTCCCACAGGAATGTTGACTTGACCACAGCAGATTCGGTTATAGTACGCACTAGGAATTACTTCAAGGAGTACGTCAATGGAAAATACTCCAGTGGATCATCAGGGCCATGTCATAACCCCGATACCAATCTCCATAATGAGGGGAGCATGGCGGCCATCGATCGTGAATATCGTCGGCAGACGACCAAGGACACCAAGATCGACAGGTTCTATATCAAACGTGCCGAATGCGACTTCTCTCTCCAGGCCACTATCAAGAATGTCTTCAAAAATGGAACGCCTACTGCTGCTGATATTAAGAATATGATGGAAGGCATCGATTATCTCGAAATTAGCCTCAAACCAAATTCAGCCTCTGGCGTTGACGACCCTTGGTATGAGAGAATTGCATGGATCAAGAACAGCGTTGTCGGCCCCCACGGGAGGCAGGTCAGAGCTCTTAAAAGCATTTTCAGGCTACTCAATGGCGAGGGTATTTTATTTCGCGAGGATGAGAACAGTGAGGTTTATAAAGAGGCCCAATCAAACAGCGTATGTATTCTTCGCGAAAAGGATAGTTCCGTTTAAAGGTTTGTGCTCTTACCGCCACAAGATGCGCAGTCAGTGCTAATTTCGAAAGTTCAAGATTCAATATGCTACACGTAGATGTTCCATGCGTAAATCGTACCAATCGAGCCCGTGAGTTGAGTCAAGTAAAAATGTTGTAAAATTCAACAAGACTTTGACATTACGACTGTAAGTGATGTTGATCTAGGCGGGCTTGTTTTTGGGTACATGTATGTATTTGTCCTAAGTAAAGATAGTCGAGGCTTGGCGAGAAAATTCGCAACCTGTCTGTCTATAGATTGGAAGACTACATGTATACATGTATATCCCAGAAAGGTTGGTGCCTCTCACTGAAACATGTATGATTGCGTAGTGAAGCTTACAGGCAATCAAAGGAACTGGCTTGCAAGGGTGTTCCTTGTAATACCCCCCTTTCTTTTTCTCCATTGATTAATTGACCTTTGGTTTCACACCGTTGTCGTTGGATTAAGGTTGTCATTCCTGGGGAAAGTAAACACCCGCATCAAGCCTAGCCCAATCTCCTGCAGCACCGGGTAATGAGGTCTGAAGCTTGATTCAACGACGCTCTGTCTTTAAATAGAAAACCTAAGAACATGGTCATTAGAGTACGAGCGACCTTTAGAAAGTATCTGCGGCACCGGACATGCTTCCACAATTTTAAAGCCGAATAGAACGCGATTTTGTACTATTTCTAGAGATTTAAAGGCTCAGAATGTCACGTCCTCTCTCATTATAACTTTGGTACAAAGGTCTCAGATCGAATAACAATAATCAAAAGCCGTCAGATCTCTACAAATCAATCCCCAGATATTTCAAACACGCAAGTATAGTCATATAATTATACGTACATAAGTAAGTTTGACACCTTCTTAATCACAAGTAAATAAATAAAATACCTACCAGCCGAATATATCTCCAATGCGATAAAAGGTCAGGACAAGGTTCGCAATTTCAAATAAAGTTTATTAATTAATTAGTCAAATTTAACCACGCAGAGCTGGATGCTGGCAGCCTGCTGGGGGGAGAAGAGAAGGGAAAGTGCAAATACGGATTTCCCTACATTCCAGAGTTCACTGATAGCATCAGATCATGCGGTTGGCAGTCTGCCGAAAGAATTAATAGAGGTAGTGAACTCTCACAAAGGATGGAAGGCCGGAAGCTACTAGATTCATTCAGTGTGATTCGAACAAATAAACTCAATCCACTCGCTATAGGAAGCGTAGTCAACGTCTAGGAGGAGGTCATAAAGATTCTATAGATCGATCGATGAATTCAAGCAACATAAAGTATGATCTAGAAATCTATAGTCAACTCCTCCATAAGGTTTCTGTCACCATATGCAGACTGCCAATCACTCTTCATTGTTGTGAAGATGGGCCAGCCGCTAGTAGGGTAGAAAGGACGACCGATATGGACGTGCTCAGAGACCTCCAGTCGCCTCTAACGTTACCAATTCCTCGGCTGCCATATGAAAAGCTTCCTGCATCAGCCGATTATGAACTACCCTCCATATCATACTAGTTCATTCAAAGAATTTCAGCCTTAAATTCTCTTTCTCTACGCCACATAGCATATACATCAAAGTTTATCATTATTCGGATTTAACGGCATCACCTTCACCTCTGTTGACATGGCCATGGTCAATAACGTGTTGCATGCCCGTCACTGCTGTTATTTTATTTAGCTCCCATCGTGGATGTATTCTTTTTAGTGTGTGAAGTGAAGTTCCATTCTCGACACGCACAAAGAACAAATAAATCCCTACCTATGAAATCGATTCCCTATCAATCAAACAATACGTGCCTTTTACGTACACAGTACCTGATAAAGGTATGTGAGTAACCCCAGACAACTACATGTATTCTCGCGGTGTGATGCTATGAATATCGTCGCCTTATCGAGTTGATACAGTGAGCTATAATCTCATCCGCAAGCCTGCTCCTGTCTCTAACAATAAATACCACACCTCATATACATTATTCACCTTGTGAAGATTTGAGGGTAAATAGATATCTCTTATCCGGTGAGGGATTATTCTCATCTTCAGACAATGATAGTATTGAGGTTTCCCTATTTTTACATTGCTGAAGTATCTTCATCACCCTAATGTATCACGAAAAAACCATCAGCCTTCAAGTCTTCTTTTCAAAATGCATCAAAGTATCAACACAGCAGATTATATTAGCGGGCAATATCAATGCAAGGTTCAATACCTCTTGTAATGCAATAGTGAGCTTCTACTACGATGTAGGTTAGCCTGGCTTCCATGAGTCCCACTTGATTCTTCATGATGTTATGATTATGTCGTCGTTCCACATCGCGGGGATCTTTTTGACAGCCTCCCTTTAAGGGACCCCGCCAACCCCCCTCACCTCCCTTCTCTCTCTTCTTCCTCTTATCATCCATACGTCCTTCTTCTCTTCTTCGTTCCTCCGTCCCTCTCTGTTTATATCGTTCATCTCTTCGGTTTCATCAAAAGCCACACACCTCATCCTTTCTTAAACTCATAGCAACCCTCAGTTGATCCTTTAAACAATGCCAGACTCCACTACCAAAAAAGGCCAGTTCTATAGTGCTAAGGATCCTGCAGGGAAAGTGTCCACATTGGACCTCGGATCCTTTGAGACCCCCAAGGACACAGCGGGGTTTCCAAAGACACCCATCAGCGGGGAGATAAACACTAAACCCCCTAATCTCAGCAGAAGTCGGAGAGAGGCCGAGCTGCTGAGGAGATCTGCTCCTCGTGGCGAGTTTGACTCGCCAACTCCCGCTGTACACGGGCGCCGCTCCGCTCGCAGGTAATGAAATGCATATCCTTATCCATTGCCGTGGTACTAACAACTGTTTGTTGAGCGTAGGTTGCTCTTCAGTGATCTGCAGCCCACGGCCTCATCATTCCCAACTACTAACCAGACTGCTACTGCTATTCAGCAGGAGCAGAAAGGTAATGAGGATTACGTTACACTCTCTTCCGAGGAACAACATGCTGGGCAGCATGTTCCAAATAATGAAGAGGATGAAGCGAAACCCTCAAGCGAGTTCTAAGCCATAAAAGCATCAATCGTCACAAGCAATTATTCATTTCCATCTTGTATGTTATCAACTGCCCATTTATCTGATGCCTATGCTTACATCGTTTGCAGTTTAGGCTTCTTCGTTGATGATGATGCCCCTTCGATGCTCTCAATTTTCTTAACCATTCTGTCCCTCCAAAATGATTATTTTTTGGCATTCAAAGAGAAAGCTACACGCTGCAACCACTTTAGTGGCATTTTGTAAGAGATCATATTCCTAACGCTTTCTTGATGGGATTGTTAATGGCAAATTTTAGTTCTTTAGACGAGTATAGGATCCAGACTGGGCGCTGTTCGATGAAGCCCGATCCATACCGCTAGCTTTGGGAGATAACTTATCTTTCTCTTTCGTGGAGAGATCCGCCACACTATCCTATCGTAAAAGGGCATACTTTCGATATGATATCCCGATCCGCTCTCCTGGGGAGATTAGAGTATATCGTCCCGCATTTATCCTTATCATCGGTATTTAATCTCCTCCGTTGAACGCCTAGCTGATTCTGTTCATGATATCAGTATCATCGAGTTCTTCGGATCGAACGATACAAACCTCTTATTTTTGTTAGTGTCTCTTTGTGGTGACGCATTGGTGCTCCTCTCAGTCATGGCGATATCTGCATCGCATGTGTTGAAGTCTGTTGATCATAAGAGATGGGCGTATCTAAGTTTTCATATTGGCATGATATTTGTGGTTGTTTCTTGGTGCGTTGTTGAAGCATCGACATTCATGTAAACTTAGAGTTTCCTTTTCATGGAAGTGGGGGGTGCAGTCAATTTTACCATATTTTTTAAGGCAGACGCATGCGGGTCCGTGCACATACGCTATACCGGAAGCGTGGAAAGGCAGGTCCCGCACATGTTCACTTTCGACACGAACTCGATTTAAATCAAGAGAGCAAGTGCATTTTCTAAATATCTCTCATGAGTAGAAAGGGTTCTCAATAAAACCACTACTACCGACTGTGCATTGAGATGCGAGTTATCTTGACTTAAAAGTAGTCACTCTTTGTGAATCATAATTTTGTTTCGCCGCAGACAAAGTTTCTCTTCCGTCCATTGCTCTCGCTCACCTTCTTCCCAGGCTAAACCGCATACTTTCCTCAGCCACAATTTTTTCGCACAGAGGGAATCGGAATAACCCTTGGTCCCCCATACTACGGTCGCAAACTTTCAAAGTACGGTAACGCCCTCAATAATCAAAGGGAAACGTGGAAATTATAAGGGATAGAGTTGATTTCAAACGTTCTCCACGCCGAACATGAACTCTTCAAGCACCACCCGTACAGATGCTGGAAAAGATCTTGAATCCGGTACAAGGAAACCAGGTATATATTTCAGTCCCCTACCAACGACGAAATTAACTCTCTTGCAGTATCCCTACAAGCTATTCAAATGGCACCAACCGGTGTTCGTACCTCCCAATCGACAGAAAAGATTCCTGCAGAGTGCAAGGTCATGGTAATCATGGAGGCTCCACATAAAATCCTAGAAGTAAGGAATACAGAACTTTCAGTGCAAGGTCCCTCTACGGCACAAACCCCACTACTACCAGAGCCGTCTCCTAGCATCACCATTCGGAGACCAGTTTCGCCAACGGACGAGTTCTTAATGAGGCAGCGAACTAGCCTACCGCCGGGCATGGTGACCTTGATGGGTAGTATGGGTACGCTGCTGAAGGACCATTTCGAGCCCGAATGTTTTCATGAGGAACACTACGGTCCTTTCTACAACAAATTCCACGAACTGTATATTAAGAAACATCAACCACTAAAGATGAGAATGGAAGATGTGGTGGAAATCACCCTGATGACCCGCCTGCCCAACGGATCGATCAGGAGTTACAGGAGCGGTGAAATTCCGGTGATGATATGCCGGTACTGTGGGCAGATGGTGGGCCTAGATTTGCCTCGTTGTGGACAGGGGAATTAGTGCGTTTATACCTTGATACTATGGTGCTATAAATCTAACTTCAACTCAGGTTTCAATGAGTCTTACCATTTTTTGGAACAGGGATTGCAAAGTGAGGGGTGCCAAAGTCACGCTATCCGAACGGTTTACGAAATGGCAGACTATTTAAAGCTCAAAAATCGTCGAATTCGACAAAAATCAAAAGACTCTAAACAGCCCATACTTTGTGGATAAGATGTATGTCACTGAACTTTGCATTTCTGCATTTATAATTGATCTCTAACTTTGAGATATAGACGCTGTGATATACATCATTTAATATCATGCATGTCTCATAATCGAGTAAACCTCTAAATAGTAGAGAAAATTAATAAACTTCTGGGTAGCTAAAACATTTCAGATCCACGAATAGCGATGTTACTGCAGATATGACGATCTGATTACTTCAATACACTTGTACGTCACTTTTCAAAAGATGAAGTACCACAATAGTAACTTCTGCCGGTATATGTGGTAAATCAGGTGCCAATCATCTGTTTCATTCGTTATTCAATTGAAAGGAGAAGAATCTGTGCTGCGTTTCCGAGGAGAGGAATATTAGGCTCATAAGAGTAACTCAATTGTATACCTCCCGGTGGTGCAACACAGGGTGTCCCTCGTTACACCCACAAGACCTGTAATTAATAGATGCGTTCCTATGCGCGTCTTTAACCAGCAAGAGACTTCAATTCATACTTTGATAGTCTTTATAACCTAACAAAGCTGTTTGTTCCTTAATTCACCTAGCAAAGACGAGCAAACGCCGGAATGGTACAGTAAAAATCCCAAAGACCACACAAAGACCCGGTCAACCTAATATCGAGCAGCTCTGCTGCTTTCCCAACTCTTTCAGTACACCTATTCTTCGGCCCTAACAATGCCCATACCCGGCAATCTGCCCAGAGCAGCATCGGACGCCAATTCCTGATATATCAACCCCTCCTCCAACCTCTTCATATCATATTTCGTCAGCGGAAAATACTCCACGCTGCGAGATCTTCCCCCACTGGGCGGTTTATACCACTCCAAGTCCAGGAACCCCCTCTTCAAACAACTCCTCTTCCCCGGCAACCTCATCACCGCCGCCGACGAGACCGGTTTCTCGGGTGATGTTTCTTGTTCCTTCTTGTATGTGACATACCCCAGCCCATAGCCGTTAAGCCACCGTCTGAATACTATCCTCATTCTACCTTCCTCCATTACCAGGCCCGCTTTCATTTTGGCTCCAATTGTATGTGCCAGTATATCAAGCCTCCGTGCCGCCTCGCTCTCCGGGAACCCATTTGGGCACAACCTTGCAACGAAGTCAACGTGGCGTCTTAAAAACATGGCATCCATGTAGGTATTCTCGCCACCACCGCTGAAGAATTTGTAGGTGATATCGCGTCCGATCTTCCACCACCATTCGCGATAGTAGAGACCAGGAGGGCGAGTATCGAGGCGAAGGACCAAGTGACCATCGAGAACGCGGAAGGAGATAAGGTTTAAGACAATCCATTGAATCTGGATGCATTGTTGTGAGTATTCTTCTGTGGGCTTTGGACCTATGTATATGGTCCCCATGTGGTCTTCGGAAAGTGTGTCTGTGAAATAATTTACCAAGGAAGGGTCTACAATCAGCTTGGACATGATAATAATCAGTTAGGATACGAGGTATAAGGGTAAAGTTTGATATCTCTCTTCGAGAGCACTCAACGGCCAGCTGGGTGATATGGAAGATTGGGATGTAGAGATATCACAAATCGAGGTATTAATAAATATATAGGCATCAAATTTCAGACTTGGGATGACACGTTTCAAGCCCTAGGAGGAAATCAAAGAGAACATATATCCCTTCATATTGGTCCCTCATGTCAACTACACTACGAGAAGAAGGGAGCCTATTAGTCCCATGGGGATTAACAATTATCCGGAGTAACAATTGCTGGATTGCTGATACCGGTGCACGTGGTTCTGTATTATGCTTTGTTATAAAATTGCCAGCCTCTGTTAACAAATGAGAAAATTTAAAATAACGTTAAGGTTTTGATTATCAACGTACTACGTACATTTAAAACCGGTAATCAGGAATTAAGCGCTATTTTTCTGTAGATTGAAAAACGGGAATCTTAAATCCCCCGAAGTGGAACCGGCCCGCCGGCAAATGTCGGGTGTCTACCAGATTTAAGATATACAGAAGGTATGAATATCGCTTTGCAATTTGGGAGAAATATTGGTGCCGTTGAACATTGCAGGTTTTACTCGTGATCAGAAAGTATGCAGACTATCGCGCCTCAGCCCAAATCAACCCCTTTTTCACAAAGAAGCTGGCACCTAAAACTGAGCCTTTCTTGTATCCCACTCCTCCATGGAAGCGGCGGAAGCGGCGGAAGCAGTCTCATAGGTCCCAACAGCGCTAGTTAAACCTACAGATACTCGATTTATATGCGTATCTCACCTTTGCCGAGAATGACGATAGTCATCGTGGTATTACAGTACCCTCCTCGCAAGAACACCATTGTCCGACTGTCTCCCAGTCCCCAACTATACCTAGCGGCCCACCCATCTTCTGACACCCTCGGGTTGAGGTAATACATGTACATTTACCAAATGCAATGTATGCATCATTTCCAGCATCTCTTTCCATCTCGTTTCGCCTATCGTATCATGCTCCCCGCAACGTACTCGTCTAATTAAAGGTGCGCAAATTGTAAAAGAGACTGTCAAAGTCAAAACGCCTTTTTATATTCCTAGAAATTGGTGCACACCTTAGATATCTTTTTTCAGGTTCTCAATATATGGGAAAACTCTCTTTTACTAGTTTCACCTCAAGATCATGATTTCAGAGGAATTCAGTAGTTGATGACAGAAAAGTGCCCTCCGGAAAGTCATGTTGTACTTGCACCTTGAACCTATCTCCTCCAAACACTCGGAATATGACTCAAAAATTCATCATGAGATGTCACTCAGCCCCTTAAAGACCTTTCTGTTAAACGTATTGATTGGTCTCCTGGGCCGCACGAACGCATTGCCGTTTCGATTGATAGAAGCATGGGCTTTCTTGGCGCCTAAGAACGTTGATTTGGTTGTGTCACCCGGTTTGAGTCTGCACATGCCCTAGTTAGACCTTTTACGCCAGCCAAGCATTGCGCTCTCTCGAATTTAGCGCTGTGTAATAAATCTGATCAGCTGTTACTTAACTTTGGGTGCCTTAACTGATGTTGAGATTCCCTATTTCCCCGTTTTATCAGTTGTAGATCCTCGGTACTATGTAGGCTTTATGCACACCTCTATGCGCTACGTATTCATCATGACCTGATTGTTTTCATGGTTACCTGATAAGTCTATATATAAGATCCTATCATCGTTTGGCCACGCTCGAGAATACGCATATTAACGCTCCAATTGTAATGGCAAAATGATCTCTGGGCACTAGATCCGAATGTCCGCAGGAGGAGATATCTGCTGTCTTGTGCTTGCGTTAGTAAGTACATAATTTACCTTTTGTGTTTATTCATTGCCCATAGTTGTCTCCCCAAAACTTTATGTGAGCACTATCTTGCATGTATCCCTGCGGAGGCAGCGTAATCCGCCCAGCAATCTTTTTTTGGCCGAACTATAATCCTATCCCAGAAATGTATGCTGCTCGTACCATATGTGTTCTTCCAAGAGCCGACCTCCTCAAGCCCTATTCTCCTCTTCATTCAACCTAACATCTCTCACTTGCAACTCCGGTTACTCCTCGTCGAGCCTCATCTACCCAAAAGCCCAGCTTCAAGAATCCATCATCTGAGCAATCGAGCGCTCTCACTCCTAGACGATCATATGAAAAGGAGTACGATTCCTCTCTTCAACTTCGTCTGAGGATAATTCACCCCCTTCGCTCTCCATATCTCCCATATACGCAAGAGCAGTATTTCTCCCTTCAACGTCTCTTCGAGGATATCTTATTCTCTTCTCCTGCTCTCCCTCTCTCTCCGATTTTCCACATTCATAAGAGCAATATTTCTCTGTTTGGCTCTCTCCGGAACGATCTCTCTCTTCTCTCCGACTACTCCCCCACCGTAAGAGCAATCTTGCTTTGTTCGGTCTTCATTCTGGGAAAATTTCCTGCTCTCCTTCTCTCTTTTCTTCCCTCGCATGGGCAACAACACCATTGCTTCTTGTCACATATCCAAGAGCAATATTGCTCTCTGACCATACGCAACAACAATGTTTGTCGGTTCAGTGTTCATATCGAAACATCTTCCGCTCTGTCCTCTTTCTCTCTCCCCCCACCCCCCCCCCCATTTATCGGCTCTCCTGGCACCATCCTCACTCTCCCCAATTAAGAGAGCCTAAGAGGCTAGGTAATTCTTGCTCGTTTGTTTCGATGGCATAAAGAAGCTGATCTCTTTTCTTTTCTTTTCTTTCCCGACAGATTACGGCGTAACTATTTTCCTGTACTCGGGTCCGACTATATTATCTTTCACCCCGACCCTAGGGTAGAGATAGTTCACAGATTTTGATGTAAGTCCAGTTCAAGTCGTTTCTGAAAGAACCACGCTAATACTATACAGTGATTGCATGGGATCAGCAATGATAGTGGTGGCGGTGCACCGCCAGTGTCAACGGAATCTATTACCGGTTCGGCTAGCTCCGCTCTTTCTAGAAGACGCTCAGAGGACGACTCTGAAGATGAAGAAAATCTTCCAAGAGATATATTTGGCTGGTCCAATCATGCTTCTTAACTTCATCTAGCTAAAGGTTCGAGTCCTCGACGTCAGAAATGAGTCTTCCTCTTAGATCCAAACGCTGACGTGACTGCTCAAGATTCATCATGCTCGTGAAGAGCACAAACGAGCTTGCCGAGCCATTGGGGGGGAGGAAAGTTGCTTCTTATTCTTGGTGCTGTGAAAGGAAAAGAAACAAAATTGTGTGGGCGTTTCCTTTTGTGTATCATCGCTCTCATGAGTACCATGTTGTCTACACTGTTTAATCGCTGTGTTATAAAATTGAAGGAGATAAATCTCTTCGCCGTTATGTTCCTATGATGAATCTACACTTTCTCTCTGTCGAGATTAACTATCGTGATCTATAATTGTCTGCCACATGAAAACGAGAAGGGTTTCCAAAAAGACTCACATTCATTTAGCCCCTCTTTGCCATTTGCCGTAAGCCATCCTCTTAAAACTATTCCATCATTTCTTTATCATAGTCTCCTGTGGGATAACTCCTGTCCCCAGATAATAACAGATTTCAACAGGAAACAGTGAATAAAAAGCTAGAGAACTTGAAGGTCTATCGATGAAGAGAAAAGAAATTTAAACTCAGCCAGACGTGAATGCCTTTGGTGCTGTGTGCCGCACTTACATCATCCGGAGATTGCCGTATAAGTGCGGCTCAACACCACCCGAATTTAACCACTGTTCATGAGGCGACTTAGTATCACACTTTGTCAGCTTAGTTAATATAATTATATTATCTAGCTATTGTGCTCTCCTCATTTACCCTTTTCCTCGCAGAAACATCGTGCATCTGTTGTCCCCAATACCCAACTCCCCAAAGACAAATAGGTAGGAAACATGGAATTAGGGTCGATGTGCGTGCTACGTTATAGGCATTTTTGTATCCTTCTCGTGGAGTATTATCTACTGTGGGCTTTTGCTTGGATAGGGAATTCTCTGGCTCTTTTAGGTAGTAATATCTGGCCATTTCTGTTGCAAGGAAGTTGAATAAAAAGACATTTCTAGTCACATACCCGGCCGCGCCGTGCTATGGAGTCGTCATGATCAAGTCCTAATATAAATATGTGAAAACAGTTTTCACGGCTGTTGGAAAGGCCTTCTGTACTGTGCATTTTCGCGGGCTGTCCGGGCCCAGAATTAGCGGGAGTGTTTGTGTTGGTGTTTTGACTTACCAAGCTGACAATTGGTTGGTTCCTTTTTTTTCATTTTTATTTTTGGGGGGTTTATAGGTCAGGGCTGGATGTAGGATTGGGCCGGTTTAGCGAAACTTTTTCTCAAACGGCCATATTCTTTTATAATAGTAGATATTCGATCTCCTTTAAATTTCAGACCGTTCTATATATGCAAGGAACTTCACCTCTCTCCTTACCGCTACCCGGTGGAAATACAAACAGTGGAAACGGACACACACCAATTTTCCCACCCAACACCTACTCACCACCCAAGCCTCCACTACCCCCCCCCCCCCTCTCTTTCACCCTCCGGCCAAAACATCAGCACACACTAAGCCTCATGTTCTCTCACACTCCTACCTACGCCAATTCCATCCCAAGAGCTCTCTACCGTCTAGTCATCCTCCACCTCCCATTAGCGCCTCGGCCGCGCCTGCACTGCGCCGCCAAAGCAGCCCGAGGTATACGCTACTATGGATTAAGATTTCTGTGGAGGGCGACTACTTTACCGACCAATCTTTGGCGATGAAGTTAGGCGCTCTCCATGTGTCTGTCACCAGATAGGCAGGAAACCTTCCTTCGGGGGTAATGGCGCACTCCCACCCCTCTCCCCCTACGTCCAGCGAGCTCACTGTAGGGGTTTATTATGCGCGGAAAATCTCTGTATATGGGGTTATCGATCCAGTGATCAATGCGAGAACTTGGTGGTTTCGGTTGTCTTTTGTTAATCACAGCTCATCACTCGGGTGCTTCATAGCCTGTCACTCGCTCGCTAGCGTCTTTCTCATTGGTCCTGCGCTACCTTTCTCGATCTAGTGCACTATAATAGAAAAGATTGCTTTTCGGATATAGACACTACTTATCAAAGGCAAAACGGTAGAGGGAAAAAAACACCCCAAGTTTCAATGGAATCACTTGAAGAGAACAGAAAAGACCGGCCAGAACAAGATGTAAAACAATCATCTAACGAGGGAATACAAGCCCCAGCACCACCACCGCACCCAGGTGATTGAAACAATGGACCCTGAGCGGCCCAGCTATGAAAACAGGAGGAAAAGAAACGGCCCAATCGACCTCATTTATGGAAGACCCGGCCCCACCACACCCACCATTGATTGAAACAAGGGACCCGGGCCAAGCACAATCAGTAAGAACCCAAGCAGCCCCCTTTTCCGGACACCCGGCGCTATAATACAAACATTCCACCACGATAAGTAATCCCGCATTCGAGTATAAAGAAAGAACCCAGACAAACTCCTAAATACACTCCTAAAGAATAACATCCTCTACAGGCACCAATAATTTTTGGCCCTGTCTAGTGAGGGAACAAGGAGCAAACATGATGGGTTTTGTGAAAATTGGGACACACCCCAATAAGGCGAAGGCGGTGTCCTCAACTATGCCAAAGACTGATCCACCCGGTCCACGTTACAATATTGACAAAATGGATCAGGAGACGAATAGCTACAGGCGAAAAGATATAAACGCTGACAAGAGTGAAACAGGAAACAAAGACAAAACGACCACAACGAATTGGACTTGAAGACCTTCATTCAAAGAAATAAATAAAAGAAACAGAGACAAAACAATAGATGGATGAGAAATGAGAGCCGGACCATTAAAGATCTAGGCCCCTTACCAGAATAAAAATAAAGGAAAAAGGAAAAAGGAGCACAGGTCAATTCTTTGACTGTGTGTCCTGGAGAAGAATGATGACCCGCGAGGATCCATTGTCCCAATCTTGATTGAAACAATGGACCCGGCCAGCACGAATCTCATATTAAGAGAGGGGTCGAATCGCACCCGTCGATGTAGCGGTGTCTTCGAGATAAGAATAATCTCGCTTACGGATGTTTGGTCAACTGAAAGGGGTGAAAAATACTCGTTGACACAACAAGCGAGCCAGCACAAGATGTGTTGAGTCTGGGTTACTGATGTTCATGAGAACAATTGTCCTCCAAGCCCTATACCTTCGACCTAAGATTTAATTAGCAAATCATTCGAGATACCATGAGAATTCTATATATACCCAGAATCACCGATTGTCTACCTCTCTATCACGGCCTTAAGGCCACAGAATATCCGAGGATGGAAAATGGATCCCTTGCTTCTGGTTTCCCAACTACTCCCGGAATCTTCAGTGTTGACTAGAAACTCTGGTTTCCCAACCACTCCCAAATTTCTCAGTTTCCACTAGAAACTCTGGTTTCCCAACTACTCTCGTACTTTTATTGCCCAACAAGGCCCGATGGTGGGCTATTTTCTCTCTATTAAAAGAAATATATTAGCAAACTGTCCCAAATAATACATGAGTTATGCTCTCTGTTACCTTCCGGATGAAATTGTAGCGGCGATCGAGGTACAAAAACCCACTAGATATTCAGAGATTAGCACAACCATGCAAAATGTTTCAACAAAAACTTAAGCTTCTACACACAATGCTGCTGGAGAGCTTCTCCTAGTATAGGCTATAAAGGCAGCCGGACCACTAATAAACTTCCGAATTAATAACTACTTCAATTAACCGGAAAGATTAAATGCCACTTACTCTCTCCCGAGGAAGAATCGCTTCTTTTCTTCTGCACGGACATACCCATATCAGAACAGAAGATAAAACGACCGATATTGACAGAACTTGAGATCTTCACATACCCTTGTGAGCCCCAAGATCGATCTCCCACGGATCAAGTCCTGCATCAAAGATGCGACGTGGTGGAAGGGAGGAAGAGGGAGACGACCCTCTCAGAGAAAGCATCTCACTTTCATCTGTTAAATAATAGATCAGCAAATATAATAAAGTAACGCAAGAAAGATATGATATAACCTACGCCCTCAAAAAGATGAGACAAATGAAAATGAATTCTCACGTACGTATATTACTTTCCCGACTTCTCTCCACCCTGGTGCAAAGGCGAGTAACTCGTATATTGGATTCCTAGTTCCGAAATCTTATATATTGCCTTTACTAAGTTGAAGTTCTTCAGGGCGACATTTTCTAAAGGTCGAGTGTGAACTTTAGACACACTATAGGGGGGATGAGGGGAGGGTATTCTTACCTTTGACCTCTTGTAGCTCGAGAATCGGTGTCTCTGCGGGCCAGGTTTCAGCAGTCTTGAGGTTCTCTCTCGCGGGAAGCTCTCGCTCTGGTTTTATAAAATATTATTAATAAAGGCCTATATATAAAGAAATACGGACGGTAATTTTCTGGCTTACTTCTCCCTAGACCCAGTCGAGAGGGCTAAAAATGTATGGCCTAAACGATTAAGTAATAATATTAGCAATATATTTTATATAGTACCAAAAAAGGAAGATTGACATACCGTGGTGGATATTACCTTCCGATCTCCCCCAATCAGCCATAAAGGCAGCCAGAACAAGAGAGAATCGGAAGGTATGCATTGGGTCATCCGAAGGCAACCCAATACCAACCAACTCCGGCCCTCGCGATCGGGCAACAGAGAAGGCAGAAAACCACATAGAGGTGGAGGATGACCTCGAACCACAGTAGGGCTGTACCACGTAGAACCGGAGGAAAACCGCGATCTGTGAGATATGACGGTGGTGGATCCCACTGTCTTTTGAGAACGTCGTACATATCAGAAACTATACATGAGAAATACATATTGTTAGTAAAGATCCCTGACGATTGACACATGAAATATTAATTTTACCACTTACTTTGACGTCCCAGAGACACCCCAGTAAATCACTGAGTTAAGTACAGGTATTAGAAACCCATTTCAAGACATATAAAGAAGATCCTACATACGCGATTGCTGCATCTCTCCCTGAACTAACACCTCCTATTATTCATTTTCTCAGTAAATATCTCTGATATAAATTAGAACTAATGTAAATAAACTGGAGACTTACATCACTCTTCATCCCCGCCCACTGGCTCCCAGGCCGAGTGACAATCGGTGAGTCTTGGTTTCCCAACTACTTCTGAGGGGAGCGGAAGCGAAAACAACCCTGTGGGATTGTTTATTGGTTGTCCCAACTACTTCTCTCAGAAGAGAGAAGAACGACCCTAATGAGGAGTGAGAAAATTGGAGTCTTCTCTAATAGATATAGAGGATCGATCGATCAGTATATGCTACGAAAATTAGGGAAGAGTATACATAACACATACCACAGCCTACAGTGGCAATGGCCTCTGGTATATAGATAAGTCGTCCAGCCCTATTCCGTCATCTAGGTTAGAGTTAATACCTAGGCTGAAGGGCAGCCATATATAACATACGGTCATCATCTCCTTCTCCTGCCTCTCTCGCAGAGATGAGGCAGGTGGGAGACGGTGGAAAGCCGGGAGAATGTGCACTATTTTTACCACATCAATTAGAAAACTGATAACACAGATTAAGAAAAACGGGGTATTATTATTGACTTACACCCAGCCGCCACCATCTCCCAGGGAGAATATCTGGTTCTAATTCTTTCTTTATTGTCATACTTATTAACACCGGTGAAATGTATGAGATAAGGAGATGAGTGTAAACTCACTGGCTCCCCCAGCCCACAATGCAAGAACAACCAACGCCTTCTATTATAATCTAGACGTTAGAAACAATATCTTCAACAGTTGACAATGCCTATACATACCGCTCCAGGCAGGCCCCGTATGATCTTTTTGACAAGATCATATTGGTGATATGCTGTATTGATGGTTTGAGCGAAGGGTTCAACACTATTCAATCTTTATTAGCACTTTATCATTTAAGTAGGAAGATTATTATAGTAACATACCAGGCGATACGATTTCGCCCTCCCTCAAACAGATAGCTGGTCGGTCATCTAGCCTCGCAAGTATTAGTATCAAACCTCACGTGGAAAGAGTTGTGATTCAAATACTACTTTTACTTTTGGCGCCTCTGCGAGTAGAGACTGTAAGCGGGTACACCCGGCCTCCATAAAAGAGGACCAGAACAGCCAGTGCACTATACACCCGCTCCAGTATTCTTTAACAAGAGGCAATGTGATACCACGATGCTCTTCGTGCAGGAAATGGCTCCTCTGAAAGAGGAAAACCCATCTCTCTTCTGAATTGCTCAATAGCAATCTGCGTACAACAGAGGTCCTCGACTATATATCATAGTAAAAGAAAATCAGTATGATTACAACGATAGACAAAGGAATTGGATAGAGAGGAATAAAAAACCAAAAACGAGATGCATTATCAGCAGAAAAAATAGAAACTCACCAGCTGCGTAGGCCTCACTGGCTATGGATTTCCCCAGGATGAGGGGAAAGAATTGATGTTCACGGTCCAGACGTGTGAATAAAAAGATGAGGAAAAATATGAGGATAAAAATAATAACGATGAGGATAAGGGATATGGAGATGAAAGAAGGACTGGGAGGATGAGCCGTGTGAGGAACCAAATTATAGATGCCAGCATTGATATTAACTCTTCTCTGTCAGAGAGTTGACTAAAGCACGCCTGTGTCCATCCCAAGAGTATTTTGGCCGCTTCTGCAGGGGACTTTGCCGCCTTTCTTGGCTAATGAGTTTACGCGTTATTCTACGGGATATTAAATATGTCTTGGTATAGCAGGGTTAAACCTATATGTATTGACTGGTTTGGCCCGATGTTGGAAAATAAGGCTGATACTTGTGGAGTTAAACTATATGTACAGTATGGAAGAATTTCAGTAGTTTTAGATTTTGTAGATAGGTTACCGTATTATCCATATTCTTTTACAAATCCTATTCAACAGTTTAATACAAATAATATCTATTATGTGTGGTAGATACATCATGAAGGATACACAACGACAAAGAGTGGACAATCACATATACATGTGGACAGATTTTACCCCGTAGTGGAGCAGCAGGGTTTAATAACGTGTAGTGACATGGATACACCTTTGCAGATCTCCCGCGCGAGAACAATGCAGAAGCAAAAGGAATACATGCCGAGATGACGTGGAAGTTCTAGCAGGTTTTATCTGATCATTCTAGTCTATTACATCTCAGCATACGTTTACTCCTCCTATCCTCCTTTCGATGTTGCATGGCTCGTGGATACCAATTTCGAGATAGCCGAGTGAGAACTGTGATCGAGTGATTTGCTATGATTGTTGCTTATTAGGATCTCTCACTCGCTAGCTCGATGTTATAACAGCCACGCGCAGTCGGAAGACCCGCCCGGTGAGTAGACGTATGTTTCCCGCACTTTCACTCCTCCTCTTCGCATTTCTCCCACTAACGAACATCGAACAGACGGGTGATTTTACCCCTTTGGTACCGGAGTATCATGAGCGACAATTTGTTTCTTTATTATCGCTAGATTGGTTTTATACGGTAACTCGAGCTGAATTGAATTCTTCTGTTCTCCCGCTGAGAGTTATAATTCTGACCCTAACCCCGCCTAACCGAAATCCTAGAGCTCATCCCGATCTCTGAGCCAGCATCCCGGACCACCCACTACCATCATCTCACGATCCAGAGCTGTGACTTCCTGGTTTCAGCTTTGCCGCAGACTGAGCTCCGAGCTCATACCCTTGCTGAACTGCATCTTCAGCCAAACTGCCACTCTACAACGCAATCGAGATCTTCGGCGCATGCTATGCCCACAACGTCGGGACCAGCGGGAAGACAGGCACAGGCCAGTCATCGAGCTACACTCACCAACTTGAGGTCAGCTTCTCTCTATCTCCTAAACGGTCGATGCTGACCTCTTATGTACTAGTTATCAAGCCACAGTCACCTACCTGGAGCCTGTGGTTGGCGGAGGAGTATCCCAGGTCGAATAATTTGTTAGTAAAGCTACACCTCCGGGCTCATGGAGTCGGTTCAGCGTGTTCCGACAAGTAAAGAGATAGCTAACACGGCGTTACAAAAATTTTCAAGCATACTATGCATCAATACCAGGTCTTCAATACTTGTCCCAGTCCCACACACCTCGATATCAACCCGGACTATAGCTCGCCCAACTACGCCCACAGTCAATCCAGTAAGACGAACCGCCGCGCACGTCGTATTTAGAGCTCTGGCGTTTGTAGAGGCGCCATTTAGGTTTAGACTTCCCAGCCTCCTCACTCATCCTTTTCCGAGGTACATACCACCCGCTGGTCGGGGTTTATGCGCGCCCTTTGTACTAACACAGGAAATACGCCGGCCCAAGTTCTTTGTTCTGCAACCCCTCATCACAGCCACAGTCCACCTCCATAACTAGCCCCCCAGAATCAAACAAAATAGCAAAAAGCCCATTGTGCCAGATAGGACCCGCATACCCCATCCGGTGGTCATCAGAAGGCGGCTTCACGGAGTATCACTCGGAAACGCCACTATTTTCAGTCACAGTCGCTGCTTCGCTTGACTGGACCGCAAAGATAATGAACGCACGCCGGTTCTGGGAAGTCACGATATATCAAGCAGATCTTACTATCGAGCTAAATACCAGACCCCGTTCAACATCTCTTGTTCCCCACTAGAGCAGGGTAGATACATACTTGTTTCCGCCGAAAGCTTAAACCGAGCACCAAATACTAGAGAGTAACCTCCAGCCCCATGTACCACAACCACCACCACCAACACCACTTGCAATCTAAGTCTTCGGCGTGGGGTAATGGATTGCTTCTGATAAGCATATAGTGAGGGTTAGGGTTGTGACGCGACATCGGCCAACCCCTAGCTCCCCTACAATCTAACTAATACATTGCCGTTGCTCCTTACCGTGGTATTACGACAGTTGCGGGAGCAGAGTCGCTCTCCCTCTCTTCCTCCGTTCTTACGTACATGTACCTGCCTACCTACCATACGGTGGTTCTTTATTCATGTATGCAGCAGGTTAGGGTTCATGTTATGCGGGGGACAGAAAAAATCTTGGCCGCGACTCAAATGCAGGGGCACGAGCTGCCCTCCTAGTTCTATGACGACGAGTTCATGCACCATCACTCGGCTATCTCCTGACCGACGCGACCTTACACAACCTCCCCTTCCTCCCCGCATCTCGCCTCTCACCGCCCAGCCCCGCGCGGCCAGAGCCTCGTATTTGGCGGTGAGTAGGAAGGCAGGTCTCCCTCCCCCTCACATCTGGAGTGGCTGGCGGGGGTTGGGGAGGGGAGGGGGAAGTGGGGGGAGGGAGGTGGTTGGGGTGCAGATGCACGTAGATCTATCCCTTAACTGGAGTGGTGTAGGTACTAATTGATGCATAGTCCTTTTGAAATTCCCTCTCAGGTCGACCGTACTCTACTGTCGAGACTGGTTGAAGCGCAAAGAAGAAGAAAAAGTAGCGCAGCTTTAATTGTTCCTTGCATAACGAGGGGGAGTGGTGGCGAGTAAGAAGTCAGAACCTCACATCAGTCTCAATACAAATGCGCTTTTCTTTTCTCTTCAGCGGTGAGGTTGCACACTACGGTGCGCGAGTTCAGCAGCTAGCAGCAGTTCAGCCAATGATATTCGCTACCCCATCAATTGCCTCCCAGCCCTACGGGTCTCCACTAATCTAACCACTATCGCAATGAGCGACCCGCGCCCGAAAAGTGTTTTCTTGCTTTTGCCTCCTTTGTTTCCTTTTTCCCACCCACTGGACCGTGCAGCGCAGGCCTAGACCGGCGCGCGGTGGACAAAAGGAGGATTACGAGACCGAAACAGAATGGGAGGCGAATGTTTATGCTGTGCAACCTGCCTGTTGGGGATGAGCTCGAAGTGGTTGTTTCAATTAGGTAGATCAATAGTAGGTAGTTATCCATGTTTGGTTTGTAGGCTCGCAGAGTGGTAGGTAGGTTCAAGTGGTAGTGGCAACAAAGTGGTAGTAGTAGATCTTTTTGTTGGTCCCCCCGACTAGCTGGATGAGTAGCGGGGGGCCGAAAACTTGTTTCTTTTTGTTTTTTGGTTGGTTTGTTTGTTTCTGCTATTTTTGGGGATGGGGTTCGGATGTTCGGTGGAGAGATAGAGAGATAGAGACAGCGAGAAGAGAATAGAAAACTCGGGATAGATAGATAGAGAGAGACAGGAAGTATTCAAGGAAAGAGGAAAAGTTTAGGAAAATGATAGTTAAGGAAAGAAGAGAAAATAGACCCCCCCGGAATAGGAATAGGAGATACAGTATCTAGGTAATAGTCGCAATCCAAACACCAAAAAAAAAGGAAGAGTAAAAAAGAAGAACGCCAAAATAGGTGGAAAAAGAAAAGAAAATATTACACTACATGTACTAGACACTATCTAACAATCCAATCACTAACACAGTAAGCCGCCACAAACCTCCGCCCATTATCAACCTACGCTGCAGGTGCAGCCTCTTGTTTCTTCCCCCTTCCAAAGAACGTCGCAATCTTCCTCCCAAAGCTCCCCAGCGACGCCTTCTTCAGTACCACCTCACTATCGCTCTTGCTCCTCTGCACCGGCTTGATAAAGTGGGCCGGTAATGGCGGCAGCGGCCTGTCGTTCAATTCGATAGTTGAAGCCTTTGAACCGCCGGAGGTGCTAGGTCTGTGGTGGGATGTGCTCGGTCTCTGGCTCGTCTGATGCGAGGTGCCGGGTCTCGGGAACAGCGCGAGTGTCTCTCTATCCTCCTCGAATGTTCCCAGCGTCTTGGTCATCCTGCCGGAACGCATGTCGGCCGTCTTTGGTCGGTTGGAGACGTCAATCACTGTTGGTTTGCGGCACAGCACCGGGCTCGCCATTGCTCCGGAGGAAGACACCCGGGTTGAGATCCTGGTTGTCTTCAATGTGGCATCTGAGGCGCGAAGGTTGATGACACTGAACTTTCGTGCAGTGGCTGTAGTGGCGAATTCATATTGGATTGGTGAGAGTGGCTCCAATGGCGGTGGTGCTGGGTGGGGTTTTGATGTGAGTGCAAGGAGAGTTGCTTTCTTGGCCTCTTCGTCGGAGCAGACGGGGGAGGTGAATGTTTGTGTTGTAAATGTTTGTGTTGTAAATGATGCAGACGCCGGTACATTCCGGGGTGCTTGCCTGTATGATGTTGTTGGGGGTACTGAGGCTGTGGTTGATATCGGGGTCGGGGAGTTGACGAGGGCCTTGCAGGCCCGGCGGAGGTCAAACTCGGTTCGTGGCGTGAGCGGTGTGAGAGGGAGCGGGAGGACGGTATCGTCGTCGTCTTCTTCGTGGAGACCTGCTGCTTTCACGGGGAGGTTCGTCTTCTATGCATGCTGTTAGCAAGTTGAGACGGGGTTCGGTTTCAGGATTGAGGTTTACTCACAATTGGTACCGGTCTGGAAAAAGCTCTTTGCCTCATGATTGCTGTGATTGTCGTAGCAATTGATAATATGCTTGTGTTAGGAGGAGTTTTAAGAAACTCTTCAAGGGAATCGGATCGTGGATGTTCGATCTTCCTCGGGTTAAGGATAGTATATGTATTAGAGTGGTGTACGCTCAGCGTAGTAATATAAGTGGAGCACTTCCGAGTCGATAAGTAACAAAAAAACACCAAAAAAAACAACACACCACCGAAAAACGAACGATCTTTGCAAAAAGGCCAGGAAAATAAGAAAGGAAACCCCCTCAAGATGGGCGGAATCAAGGGTTTCTATAACACCCCCAAGACCCCATCCAAACACGCGCACCCACACACCCATCTCCCCATCTCGTGCACCCAGGTGTTTGCACGAATAGGGGATGGAGCCTGTTGGTGATCTGATCCATCACACCCTTCCGTCCCCCAAGAGATCAGCATTTGAACAAACGAATCTGACCATTATTCACCGCAAAGAGGTGCCCAAGGTCAGGTAGGTTAGGCTCCCTGAGACTGCATGGCGTCCCATCCCGGTCCATCGTGGGGTGAACACGGTTAGTGCAGGACCACAAGCGAGCTTTATGTTGGCTGTGAACCCTGCAAGGCACTCGTTTCATCAATGGACCGTTTGCCTACCAATTTCCCCCCTCCTCCTTCAACTCCACTTCCTCTCCACTCTGCGGTCTCTACCCAACCACACACCCCTCCCCCCCCCCCAGTTCCTAAGCTCTCCTAAGCGTCCCCCCAACTCCCCGTTCTTCCGAAATTCGCTGCCAACACCCCAATCGGGGATAACAAACACCTGCCTACAATAGGCTTCAGCGAGGGTTTCCTAGGCGATGCCCGGGGAATTTCAAGATCTTGCTTCCTGTGATGACGATCCTCCAGGAACCGATTTCGTCCAAACTTGTGTACCTACAAGCGTTCCTAGGAAACCTTTGCTTCCTACTGGGCAGAACGCCTGCATTGTCAACCTCCCAGCAATTCCGGTCCAAGAAGCCGTTGTGGGAACCTTTTTCCTATGTAGGTCGTGTAGGTCTAGATGATGGATGTTCGTCCAAATTTGCTCTGTCCTCCATCCGATCGCGCGTGCCAAAGGTCGAACCACCGCAATCAAGGGCCATTTCTAATATCAACCGATTTATTAAATCTCCCCAACGCGTCAACATCCATCCTATCACCATCTCGGTACTCTACTCTATGAGGAAAATGCAAAATATGGTAGGTAGAGTAGGTAACTTAAGCTGCAGCTACATACCGCGCGTCGAGCGCGTTCCGTCGGCTCCAAACCTAACCGAACGTCCTAGTTGCTTTCCGAACCGTGGTTGATGACTTCATGGAATGGAAACAATTTATTTATATTTACTTTTCACGCCGCAATCGGTCTTGACAGTAGTAGACTTAGGGTACTTTTGTAGCACGAACGGGACCGTCATAATAATTGTGATACAGGACAGAAGGGTCGTGTGCCGGGATATCCCGAACCGTGATGTGATGATGCGGATACGGCGGTCAAAATAAGTATTTTGACTCTGGAGGGCCCGAGCAAGACCCTGCCAAGAACGTCATTGGTGATAGTAAAGGGTCCCCTTTCCAAACGTAAAACTGAGTGATAAGCCTTTGGGCTCGGGGGAAGTCGTCGATAGCCGTTAGAAAAGAGGAACATCACAATCATACTTTAGCCATGACGGTCTCCGGGTTAGTTTTATGACATGGACAGCAAAACCAGCAATGGAGTTGTAAAAAAGAAAGAAATGCCCAATATAACGTGTCTCCCTTACCTACCTTGGACAGGAAATCGACGGGTCTCCCTCGCTCCCGTGGGAAATCTTTGTTCCTACATATGTAGGTACACGGCGTACCTACAGTAGGGTACTCTGCTCATGCAATGCAGAAGACGGAGCTGTTTGCATGCCTCAAGAAAGGGGTTCTTAGTGCTGTTGGCGTTGCAACCAGTCATGTTATGCCTAACCAAGCCTGTCGAATATATTTTTGGCAACGGACATTTTGTCTCAAACTTTATTTCGACAGAATTGCACTTCATACATGCAAGCACTTTGTTATATGGTTGAAGACTAATATCCGTCACTGAGTTCCGTTTATGCGATCGGAAGTTTATGTTTTATCTGAAGCTGATTGATCGTCCACGGAAGTTCGGACCGGGACCGAGAATGGCAAGTTGTTGCCCTTTGATGTCGATTTCGAGTGTAGATGGGATCAATACTCGAGTGATGGACTATGAGAAAATCTCTACTCGTCTCGCTCAGGCAATTCTAGAAGAACTCGAACTTGAGGTGATTTAGACGTTGGTGTCTGACGAGTATTTAGCACGAGGTGCCATTTCTCCCAATCCCTGTTGCCAGTACACCGTTGTTTTGCGCAAGCGGGAACAATGACACGGACCTTGAGTGCACGATGCATTCAATGGTGAGCAGTCAAGGTGAGTCGTGTTTCCGGTTCAAGTCGGAGGTTACCTCCGCCTTGACAGAACGTGTGAGGCATCATTTATCAAAACCTCCGGATGGTAAACACATTAAGGACCGCATACCCACTTCCTCAAATAAACAACGGATTCGCTCGCCTGAATTATTTCGCAATTATTTATGTAACAGTGATAATTTAGGCCTAGTGCGTTTGATGGTGTGTTCATTTGGTTAGTAATTCTAATTCATCCGGCTGGTGTCACGATCAACTGATGTATGAATGACCCCTAGAGTAAATACTCGATCGTTCATACGTCCGCTCTTATAGATAAGTAATCAAGAATGAGTAGAGAGATCGACTTAGTTGTTCCCTATATAGGGGCACCGCACCAATTGCCGTCTCCATTGCTACTATTTTCAATAACAGAAATCCCTGTATATTATTAATAACAGTTGACTACCCCACATATGATTGGAAGATCCAGATTTCGGAGATCATCCTCACAATGTCGTGACTGCCGAAGCATGTGCAGATCGAATAAGATAAACCTTTACTCGACTCCATTCACATGCGTACCTTAAGTCACAGGTTTGGTCCTTAGGACGGATACTGTTTATCTATCGATGTCATGGGTTGATAGATCAGGGTCAACCAGTGGTTCAAGATATTGATCATAGCCCTATTGTATTTGAAAGGGTTATGGTAGTGACTCCAGGTGCTTGCACATGCCTAAGTGTTTATCTTAGCTTCGTGATATAATAGGTCTCGAGCGAACTGCTCGTGTTGGGGGTTTGATACTGTAGGGTGGTTCGTGCTGCAAACCACAGGTGATATACTGATTGGTCACTCGTCGAGTAGAATCAGTATCAATTATCGGAAGATGCCGAATTCATCTGTGAATAAATCTAAACAATCAGCACTATCCCAACTTCAGGATCAGTCTCTCGGTATATACGCGCTCTTTACTTCTCTTGGAGCAATAATGTTTCCCCTCAACTCCGTAAGCTTGTTATTGATAGCGCTGCAGCTCCTTCCCCGAACTGTAGCCTTACAAGCAGATCTCCAGAGATCCAACGACTCGCTTCATGCCCCTAATATCGGCCTTACTAATCCTGACTTCATAAACACCACAATCCCGTCCGCGGATGATTTGAAAATACCAGACTTGATCTTTCAATCCGATCTGCTCGTCAATGGTGGTTACAATGTCGCTTGGCAGGCTCGACCGTAGGTACCTTCTAATCCTCTACCGGCTCCACCAGGTCTAACGAATCACATAGACTCTGGCATTTTTCTCGGTACCTTGGACATGATACCTGTTATCCCCAAAGTGCCACTACTTTAACCGGTGATCAGGCTCCAGGGGTAGAGTTGGGGTATTGGCCGGATACCAATGGTGGATGTGATAGCCCTGGAGAGGGCAAGTGGAGTAAAGCATTCCCCACTTATTATAGCATTAGCAAGTGCAGCGATAGCGAAGTTAGGGTAAGTCTTGGTATAAGAAGTGGGGGAACACGTTTAACACAGAATAGGTTGTTTATAATCTGTTTTTTCCAAAGGATGGTTGGGGTCTTGGCGGGACAGGGCATAAGTATGATTGGGAGAGGATATATGTAACCTGGAAGAAAGAGGGCAATGGGTGGGCACCAGTGGAGGTGGCTTACAGTTATCATGGGAGTTATAACAAATACAGATGGGATGAGGTCTGGACGACTAAGTATTATCCACTTCTCTTTCTCGCCCCCGTCTGCAATATAGAGATCGAAGCTAATATAAGCTATGGTCAGTACGGATGATCGCAATCAAACTCCGGAAGATGGCGTCAATATGAAAATGCCAAAAGTGTTTGTTAGTTGGGGCAAGCATGCCACCTTTAGGGAGAAATGCGGTGGATCGCACGGATACTGTTGCTGTGCCCTGGGGGATATTCTTTCGGAAAACTTGCCATGGGCGCAGAGAAGCGACGATTATTATTATGTTGCCGAAGAAGGTAAGAAAAAGCTATAACGCAGGATAAGGACTGGTACTGAATCGTTGGATTTGTAGGTTATCTGCTTAATGCAGGTAGGGAGACGGAGTTGGGAAGGAGGATTGCAGGATTTGAATGGGGTGGTACGTCTTATCCCGGGGTTGTACAGGATACAATATGCGAGAAGTAGGGTTTTACTAGTACCAAACAGAACGCACTGGTGAAAGTACATTCCATAGGAAATCTTCTTTGCAATTTGAGCGTCGATCCTATTAGGTGGTCGGGCTTCCGAACGAGATGGTGCGATACTGAAGCGGTTGGTAACATATAATTATTAGTTGGGTAGAGAGAGACAGCTCATCTCGTCCCTAAATTTAAACATAATTCAACTTTTAAATATTTATATTAAGGTCCGATCCGTAGCTGAGTTTTCTGTCTAGACTTTAGAGTTCTCTTGATATAGCTCGTGCTGATACTACGGAATCTCGCGCCCCAATCACAACCTATCACTCATTGTTCATCATCCCTGACATAAACCTTATTAATAACAACGAGTGATCTTCTATGACTACATGTACATACATGTATACGTAAAATCATGTATATAGAAAGTCTAGACAACGCCTCGGGTAGCCAACCTTTTATTTACATGTACATGCCTCGTTAATCTAGCTAGTACCACATCCATCGTCATGGCAACTAACTTTGCTCCCATCTCCACCCCTAAATCCAACTCCAAGATCTGTCGCTATCCTATTTCTAAAGATACACCATCAAAAATCTCGTCACCTAGTATAGCCCTCATCCAGCACGCTACAACCCTCACAAACACGCTCTCAGAGATTATGTGCGAACTTACCTTTATCAGTGGTGAACTATCCAATCTCACAGATGAACACGTGGCAATCGAAACTCAACTAGAGGAGCTTCACAAAAGAGAGAATACGAGATGGATAGAGAGCCGGAGAAGACTTGCGGATTCGTATGTGCCATCTGTTTATTGCTGATATGTGCTATACTAATGATAAGTATAGGAACAACCGTGCTAGCAAACTACAAAACAAATCACTCTCGCGTATTGATGGTGTACTATACGCCTTCTATGATCGAAACAGCGGGAAGAAGCTCGATATGTTTCCCGGAAGGGTGGAATACATTGAGTGGATGAGTGGTAAGTATCTTCGATATGCAAACATTTAGGCCCCGAATAATCTGAAACTGACAAACAATAGACAAATCGATAATAATTATTCTAAAGGCTCTCGATGAGGATCTACCGGCCGATTTGAAAGAACTCAAAGCATGTTTTAAGAAGGCGATCGGGATTAGTATTTAAGATGAGAGCGAGGTCTTCTCATTCTTCTGCGTATTCACACAAGGAAAGGCGTGTTTCCTCGACTTAGGGTATCTGATCATCTCCCACGGTACTTCGATAATGGAGACAGTACGATAAAACTAAGAGAAATATCTCTCTCTCTGTAAGTTGACCCAAGATCTCTATGTTGACGAGTGTATTTCGGGAATTGGTTAATTCTCCCAACACAGTGCTTAGTTCTTTGCTTTAATCCTACGTTCCACTAAACTGCCTCAATAATCTCCCCCCGTTCCGTTCTTATTTTTTATACTTCGACACGTTATGCGCCCGCACCCAAACAAGCACGAAATACATCTCTTAGACGTAACTTAAAATTATCGTCAACTATCTTCGTACAGGTTATGATGTCCATGCTGACGGTTGGATTTTACGGGTTTGTGAGCATCTAAATTATGTAATTATAAGTGTCTTCTCCTTTTCACTAAATAATAGCGGTGAGGATGTCAAGAAAAGCAAAGACTGTAATACAGAGTGATGGCTTGCACATGAGCTCCCATCTCTGGTAAGAAAACCAAAGCTCCATGTACCTTTCAGTGAGAAAAACACAAATCACAACCATCAGTGAACATAATTTGTATGATATCATTCCTTGTGGTTGGCTATCCAAGCTACAATACGCCAGATGTTGATAAACGTGTCCATGATTTGCCCGATTGACAATTTAGGATTTTTCTTGTTCGATAAGCACATTCCCTGATAGCTTTCTGTGGAATTGACCCCTTATAAATAAATAATAAGGAACACAAGAGGATCAAACTATTGATTCTTTGATATCAAAGGCCCTACTAAAACACGCCTTTAATACCCTTCACCCCATTAATTCCATTTTTCTCACTCATCTCCGATCGTCACTCTCCAGATCCCCTGCTCGTTGTCCTCATCCCCCATATCTTTCCAATTTACCTCAGCCATTTCACTCCTATCACCACCATTACCCGCACCATCAGAATCAGAATAATCTTCGCTATCAGACGAGCTGTCTTCTCTTAGAAACTTGCGGTACTCTTTCGTTAAGATCTTGTTTTTCTCGCGCATGACCAGTTTCACGTCCAAACTTTGGCTAATTATCGTGTCTTCTTCTATGCCCCCAGTATACTCCACCAGTGCCTCCAAAATACTGCTGTAACTCATGACCACTTCGTTCAATAAAAGCTCCGCATCCAATTTTTGGTTCTCGGTCTCCAAGGTTCCCGGGTCTGCTATCGCGATCATGATTTTCTGTACTTCGGCGCCCATAGCATCTACTGCGAGTTGAAGTTCTGTGAAGAAGGTGACGGGCGCCTCTTGTAGGTATATATCGGCATGTAGAAAGACGTAGTTGATGCATTTCCTGACAGCGCGGATGCTGGCATCGAGCTCGGGCAAATGAATCGAAATGAGGGCACTGGTCTCTGGGGAGCGCAAAGGGGAAGTGGCGGAGGCGACAAGATTATCTACAGGACTTTCCAACTTGAGTCCGACGGGGGCCCCTAGGGAGTATGTAGGGGAAGTGATGAAGGTGATAGGCTTATTTATAGGAATATCCAATTTAAGCTTGACGGGGGCTTCTTTATAGGAGATGGCAAGGGATTTGTTGCTGGCAGCGGATTTTGAAATGATGACATCCCCAGGATTGGCCGTTTCGAACGGAGCAATGGAAGCTTTATCATCAATGGTCGGGGGTGGGTTGGAGGTCAGGCCTTTTGCGGTGGAGAAATCCGCATCATCTGCAGCTTTAGGTTGGATAGTGTGGGTTTCAGGAAACTTGGGTAGGAGGGGCATCTCGACAGCTTGTCTCTCGTGTACCGGTCAGGATGTGTGATAACTGCCGGTTGTTTGTGATGATGGAGAGTCGATATAGTGCACGCGTAGGGTAGTAGAAGGAATTCGGAACTGCGGGCTGATCAAGATCTAGGAACTGGTTAATGGGCCAGATGTACGCCGAGGTTTTGCAAGCGCTAGGACGTACTCAGTATCTCACGAAAATAAACCATAACAGGCTTAACTCATGTTGTGGTTCTGATTCAGGCGATGGCTGGCTAAGCTACTTGTAGCTTTTGCTGCTTGGACCACAACGTCACCACATCGTTTATGCTCCTATTATGTATACTTGATTTGTCTCTTGAATTAAAAGTAGCTGACTACTTGTAAATGACGACATCTAATAATTATTTTGATATATCAATGATTGTCCAGGTTCGATGTTTCTTTTTCTTTTTTGCTAGTGATGATATATTGAGGTTGCTTTTTGGTATATATAGAGATTTTGATGGTTGCGAATACTTGTATTGATATTCGGTGGCTGGGAATCAGCCAAAAGCAATAATAAGTTTCATTCCGGTGGCAATTTGATTCAGAAAGAAGCAATGATAAGGCCTCTGATTGTAGAACGCTGTTGGTTCTATTCTTATTGATTGTAACTTGGTGTTTGAATCCATCGGTTGTAATAGATCTATAGAACAAGATAAAAGGATGTGAATGATATTCCTTAATTCTACTACGACCAAAGGCCGGTGGGTTCTTGCTTTTGATAAGTCTCTGGTTATTTTTGAGGCCTAACTACATATATCCAGTATGATATGTTTCTTTGATATTACCTCCAGCTTCTGAAAAGGTAAATTTCTTCTTTTCGTGTCCTACCCCAATCATTGGCATCTGACATTCGAGGACAACTCCCAAGTTCTTGTTGATCGAGTATTAGTGGCATGGCTATTGATATGTTGTTTTATTCTTTTTTTTTCTTTCTTTTTTTCTTTTTTCACAGCACCAACAGAGATTTGATTTAAGATCCAGGCCTTTGCGTGCAAAAATACATCACAAAGCACGCGCCCAAAATAGCGATATGGGTTTAACAGAAAATAGAGGTTCACCATAGCGTATTAGATTCACCAAATATCACTCGTTCGATCAACGAAAATGTGGTAAGTGTTGAATTAACTCTTTAATATGCGAAAGAGACCAGCCAGACCTCTACTAGACGATAGGAAAAAAGTGACCGCCTATCACAACTCGTTAGTTATCACTCCATCGATCAAACAGTCGGGAACTGGCATGTACACAGAGGACGGCTTTCATCAGGAAAAAATAAAAGGGATTAGGGTGGGAATTCGGGAAAAGTAAAGGGCGGTTTAGAGGCGTGTAGGGAGCAAAATTGACTTACTTCCGCTCTGTGTCCAACTAGAGAAATTCTGGAGTCCCATTATTTCTTTGGCAGCCTCATTCGTTCAGCCCTTCTCTGCACATAATTGTCGAAAACCTCCCACATCATCTCTGTGATTTCCTCTTCGTATTCTTCGATGTAATCAACTCCAGGACAATCATCTGGACTAGTGCCCTCTCCATTCGTATAGAAACCATGTTTGCCAGGATCAACCGCGCCCATTTTGTCAAGATCTGAGGTCCACTTCCACATGTATCCGAATTGTTGCCCCTTTACAAGGAGGTAGCAGTAACACGGGCCGCTGTGAACAGCGCAGTGTGAGCCATGTTTGAGCATGGCGGCACCAGGGCGAGCACGTCGACGGGATTTACCCAGAATGGGGAGAGGAGCTTCCACAATGGTAGACGAGGTAGTAGCAGTGGCGGCAACGGCGGGCGAAGCAGCACTGGCGGCGGCAATGGTGGATGAAGCAATACCATTGGCGGTAATGGTGGATGAAGCAGAACCAGCGGTATTCATGGTGGATGGAGTACTATCAGTTGCGACGACGTCGATAGGTCTACTGCTGCTTGAAGATGTTTGGTAGGAGCTTGAGGGCTCTGTTTCGTAGCTTGATGAGGATTGGGCGGCAAGGGTGGTGGGAGTATTCTTGAGAGTGAGTGCTTTAAGAATGGCAGCCAAAGGTTCGCCGCTCAAATCACCGATGGTCATTGTGGCTAGCGAGGTGATTAAGTACGTCTTGGAGGAAGGTGGTATGGTTGATGTACGTGATGTCTTTTGGGAGGTGTCGTTGAGAGTGGGTAAAAAGGAACTGGAGAATTGGACAGGGTAGGAAGATTTCTGAGCCCCCTTTGCGAGCTGGGTGGATAGCTTCGACGTTTATGCAAAACTATCATTTCCACATTGTTGCACCCGCCCGTGCCATCATTACCACCATCCCAGCTTTCATATGACCCTCCGTTTTTATAAACCAATTATCTACTAGCGAAAAAAGATAATGCGACAAACCCGGATTGAACGGGTGACCTTCAGATGACACCCCGGATAATGAAGACTTCAGTCTGACGCTCTCCCAACTGAGCTATTATCGCCGCTGGTTATTGTGGTTGCTCTAGACGAGAATTTGGCTAGTATCCAGGATAGCTGTGGGGCCGGACGTTTTTTAACAGGGATAATTCTACTAGCCGTAGAGTGAAATTTAGGTTTTAGGCCTAGGTCAGAGGCGAAATCGTTCCAAGGAGTAGGCAAAGATGAGTTGTAGCTGATTATTTGAATCAGTATCTAGTGTCTACATATGCCAAACATCGTGTCCCGCTCTCTATAGGTAGAACGCCCCCACTGGATCCAAGTACCCGAGACATCTATTTCGATCCACATCTTAATTTTGAGACGTATTTATTTAAGAACCTCCTTGCTCTTCATAAGAACATAAACCACATAAACTTTACTCGATAATACTACATTAAATATCAGAATGCGGTTCGGCCCAGGTTTCTCTCGACACCTTTTGTATACTTTACCTCAAACATCATATTAGGATAAACAATTCAACTACATAATTAATTACACCACCACCGCCACTATATTCAATCACATATAATTATAACAAAGTATCCCGTCATTGATTTTCATAATGTCTTTAACAATAACTTTTTTCGCCAGCTTCTCCATATTCAGCTCATAGTTCAGCGTCACCCTCCCCGCCTCGCGCCCTTGCATATCAGGAGATGAAATATCTGTATAACGCCTCTCTGGGTCTTTCTGCTGCCATTGCCACCATAGTCGGTCGAGGTTTGCATGGTGGAGGTAAAATAGCGGGTCTGTTTATACCCACAATTAGTTAAAAACTCTGTAAAAAAAGTTGGTTCTTTTCCGCTTGCCTCCGGGTGAAGAATAAACATCTGCCAGGGTTCCTGTTTTTCACACACACGCGTTAGTGGGTCATAATTATTTCTAAACTCTCAAGATAACTCACCACCAACCCCCAAATGTCCAGCCCCATGCAACCCAAGCTGCCTGACTTCAAACATGCCCTCGATCCTTCTCCACAAGCTCTCAAAGCTCTTCTCACTCAGCGTACTATTGACCTCTTGTTCACTGAACCAATCCTGTACATAGGGATGGAAATCCCTTGTTATGCAGTGATCGTTGCGCTCAACCCTTTTCCCAGGTCCCATGTGAAGGGTTAGATTTGCAAACGGGCCGTTGGTGATGCAGCCACCGCCAGTACCGTTCATAACACAAGGAGATTCGTAGGGTTGCTCAGAGCAGGGCACGTAGGGCCCTAAATAGGTGAGTTGAGAGTCTGGCATAGATAAAAGTACTAAGGATGAGTTCAAGGAGGAGGAGGTACCATTTCCACCGAATCCCGTGGTGGTGGAGAAAACGGGTGATTCAGCCCAGGTGCTACCTTCTTCCGAATCAAGAGACCAGTCCCAATACCTATCAGTCCCTGGTTATTAACGCCGAGACTTTATCTAGAAATAATATGGAGACTTACGGTTGCGACCCCCGATACCCACATGATCCTCTCAATGCACCCTCCCACACTGCCGTGAAATACCGATGCCAAGGCAGAAACCGACCATTCAGATGCACGTTCTCCATCTGGAGGATGTGCACGCCCTGGAAGTCATCAAAGCGCGACTGCGAGCCCGGAAGAAGTTTCCTGAGGGCCGAGGGTTGCGTGGTAAGGCAGCGGATTGCGGAGATGTAGGCGGTCTGTTCGGAAGCATTGAGGGCGCGCCTGTGGTATTTGGTATTAGTAATATTTCTTGGTGAGGGCAGGAAGGGGGAGGGAATACCATTCTTTACGCAGGAGAGGTGCGCTGCAGGTTTTGGACTTGGGATCGGTGTAGGGTGCGTCTAGAGCTTGGGAATATGGTGAGAGTGAGAGGAGGAGGAGCAGGGTCGCGATGAGGATGAGGACCATACTGAGGTGGAAAAGAGTGTGTTTAAGGGCGTGCGAGGGAGAGAGGAGCTGGGGAGGATTGTGAGGTGTTGGAGGGTGGGGAGATCTTGAAGTAAGGGGAGTGTCGTGCCAGGGGTGCATTCTTGAGAATTGAAGGGGAATTGATCGAGGAGGCATGTTGTAGAGATTGTGGTGGTATGACATGGGGCGGAATACATCAAATGGATATTTGTGAAGACATATATATGAAGTGTTTGGATCAAGAGAACACTGGCGTGGTCTCTTGAAAATTTTGGCATGGTGATGCTTGATCGTTGGTAAGAACAGTACAGCGACAAACAATAATGATATGCTTGTCAGATCCGAAACTAAAAGTGTTAGTTTAAGTATATGTACCCAACCTAATCCCACACAACTCGTACTTGATAACATACCAATAAGTTGTAAGTTAATTAAGATGAAAACTTGAATCATTGCCGTGGCGTTGGCGGCTGATGAACTGATTACTGATCGATAGATAAAAAGCCAATTCTTTGGAACGATATGTCGTACCCTAATCAACCCCACACTGCGATAGTAAGGGCCCTTAACGAAGTAACGACATCAGAGCGTCCGGGTAAGATCATAGATTATCACTCGCATTTGTTATATCTTCATTCGAAGACAAACGAAGCCCAAGTAATCGGTATATCAGATCGCCTCCTAAGTGTCAGCTAGATACCGCGTATAAATATCAGATATTAGTAGTGGCCATACCATATCTGTGGTCGACCAAAGTACACTCAAACTTGCTAGTGCCGGTGTCTTGAATGCTAAGCGCCCTACACGCCCTGATATTACAGCATAGCTTATGTTAACCGCTAAATAGGCATTCAGTCCGTGGTGTTCCATCATCCATTATCTCTCTGAGCTTCAGATCGAGTATTTCAGATTACTCTCAAAGAGGTCCATATACGACGTGGCTGTAGATTTGGCTTAATCGTTCCCCAGTCAACCATGTCGAAAATCAGTGCTCAAGATGGCTAGCGTGCTCAAGTAAAACCATTTCGCGGACAATTAGTGCAATTAGTGCGACCGAATCTTGGCAACAGTCTCTCAGAGTCGAAAAGCGTCATATTTTCTCCGGAAGATCCCGGTAACACGTGTACCTACATGTACTCAACCTCACTGATAAGAGTTTGTCTTGATCCTTAGAGTAAAACACAAACCTGAGGGTGAAGATGCAATCGTTCAATGGTGGTTGACCAGAGGATACTGAGGATATATACAGCTGCGTGCACAACAACAGCTACAAAGCAAAAGCGTCGTTCGGATAAACCGTCCCGCACGTGATTGTGCATGTTGGTGAGTGTGGCTTATGTCAGCCACACATCATATCTATCTCGCCCGCCAAGCCTTCCCTCCCTGCATCGGCTGGTTTTTGAACTTTCCCAGGAAAAAACATCTCTCGCCCAACAAGAAGAACTGCAAGAAGATACCGCAGACGGTGTCCAAAGGACTTCAGCTTCTTCAACGGAGCCCTCCATCCTCGTCTGAGATCCTTCTGCTTATCAGCTACGTTCTCAGCCATTTGTTGATTTTTCAGCCATTTCTGCTCCTCCACCAAACGAGAACGCGTCCAGAGATTTCCTGTGCTCATCTCCCCTCTTGTATTCCCCCCATACATATACAACCAAACCCATTCCACTACATCTCTATCTACAGCTCCCCTTACAACTTTGATTGCCATACAATTCACCTCGATTCATCGGGAGTTCTACTCCCACCCCCCCCCCCCCCCCCCCCACAAACAAAAACGCTCTCTCTCTTTCTCTCTCTACCCACCCACCCTTCCTAGCTTTCTCCCCTCGTCATGCCCGGCGATCGCCATTCAGGCGACCGGAATCGCAAGCGAAAACACTCCGATAATAATCAAACATCCCGCATGTCACCCTATAATCCTGGCCGCTCGGGCGATCAGTACTCGCCCCGGAATAATTCCGGCGGCGGTGGTGGCGGTGGAGGTGGTGGAGGTGGTGGACAAGGTGGTCATGGCGGAGGTGGTGGAGGAGGAAACGGTCGCTCTAGACGCGGTCGCCAACAGAGCTCCTCATCGCAGCAACAAGCGCAACAACCTCAAATCCAACGAACCCCCCGACGCACTATGGATGAACCTAATGCCCCTGACGACTTAATGAACCTCGTTAATCAACCAACTCCCCCTGCTACACCGCGCGACTATTACTATTGGGAATACTTGACGGATGCCGTCATCAAAGAGTGGCAGTTTACGGGCTTCTCGCGTGTCAAGGAGTCGCTAGAGAAGGCTACAAAGGACAATGACACCGATTCAGCCTGCATCATATTCCAGGAGCTCGTGAAGTCTGCTATTGATAGCCGTCTTTCGGTGGATAATGCTGCGAGGTTTTTAACCGATGTCTTAACAAGTCTAGATTTTAGGGACAACGCGGCCGGACTCGATCTGCGAAGTTTGTTCCTTTCATCACTACATCAGTTCGAAGTGGGCGATTCTGGAGAGAAGACGACACCTCAGAACTTGGCCCTCCTTCTCAAATCCCTTATCCCTCACCCTATACCACAAGATGTAATATCATCGACACTCGAGTCGGGTACACTCATCGCTATCGGCCTTGTGACACCCATGTTCTCGAGGCGGGCGATTAAAGTCACAACCAGTCTGGTTTACAAACAACGAAGACATAATCTCCTCCGAGAGGAAACAGAAGGGTTTTCGAAACTAATTACAGAGTTTTTCACAGCCTCCTATTCCTCTCAGCCGTACGAAGTTGTCGCAAGGACTGGGGAACGGGTAAAAGGCTTGGTTGGCGCGTTTGAACTGGATCCTGGAAGGGTCTTGGACGTGTTGTTGGATACTGCCGCCTGTACGGTTGTTTCTAACGCTAGGTTTTTCGTCAAGCTGTTGAGGGGAAGCGCGTGGTGGCCTAAGCACCTTCCTACTCTGAACGACGATGAGCAGGCCACCCAACAGGGAAGAGAGGAACAGAAGGTTGAAAAGGAAAGGCTGAAGGCAGTCGCTGATGGAGCTTTCTTTGACAAACTACATAAGGAAGGAATTTCTGCGTTTTTTGAATCACCGGAAGGGTATGAAAAAGGAGGGAACAAGGTTGCTGCCCAGCTCCTAGGATTCAAATTCCGATATTATCAGCAGGAAGATGTTAGGGAATCCACACCAGAGAATCTCCTGGTTCTGAGTGCTCTATTGATCAAGATTGGATTTGTGGATTTGGCAGATCTGTATCCCCATCTTAGTCCTAGGGACGAGGAGGGTATGGAATCATTGCACACTGCCTGGAAAAAGAAGATGGAAGAGAAACAGCGAGGAGGGAAACGGAATGCACTCATGATGGCTGGTGCCCTTGCCGACGATACCGTACCGCTTCCGCCGCGGGCCAAGGCATCTTCAAATTCAACCCCGGCCGCCGAAGACAAGAAGCCGGAGGAGCAGAAAGCCGAGGAACCAAAGCCCAAGATACAGGATAACCAGAAAGTTATTCTCCTCAAATATCTGCTTGCCGTTGGCGCTATCCCCGCTGCGATGTTCATCCTGGGGAAATACCCATTCCTTCCCGGGCCTGCCGACGATATCGCCGATCATATCGGCCGCATTCTGATTCAGTCCATCGAGACGGTTTATCTACCTCTACGGCCCAGTCGAACCGAAATGGGTATGCGGAAGATCGGAATCTCCGCTCCTGGTGGCCTTGAGCTTGTTGATCAGCCCCGACGAAAGGCGATGGTGTCTTTTACAATCAGCAACCTCAAACTGAAAACTGGCGATATTGAATATCGCTTTTTCTGGGATGAATGGAAGGATGGTGTCCCTATCTGCCGAGATCCTAAAGATGTGGTACGTCTTATGGAAACTCTTGGACGAATTCTTGGCCCTCGTGTCGGGAGAGACCCTGGTGTGCTCACCAGGATCTGTCGCATTGGACGCACCGTGCTCAAATCCTCCGAATGCACCGAAGAGGATAAGAAGAGATGGATCGATCTTTCTCGCGCGATTCTGGTGCCTGCTGTGTCACTTACGGATGGTAATGCTGGCCTTGTTAATGAGGTCTGGCGACTTCTTGAATGTTTCCCGACCACTACACGATACAGCTTGTACGGCGAATGGAGCACTGTTTCCTCCAAACGCATTCCGGAGTTGAAGTTGAAAGTCGCAGAGACGGAGAGGGAAACAAGGGATCTGCTGAAGAGGATATCAAAGACAAATGTCAAGCTGATGGCGAGACAATTGGCAAAGGTAGCGACAAGTATGCCAGTAGTCGTTATGCAGGTAGTTCTTGGTCAGGTGGAAGGATACGATAATCTGATCGAGTGCGTGGTTGATGCGGCCAGATATTTCACGCCGCTTGGGTTTGACGCAGTTGGGTTTTGCGTCCTTAATAGGTTTGCTCTCTGACTAAATCTTCGCTGCCAGCATCGGTACTAACGATTTCATAGTATGAGTACTGAGGGAAAGAAACGAGTACAGGCGGATGGAATGTTAACAAGTAGATGGCTACAATGTAAGTCACTCTCCTGGATTTCAACAGTATACTCATACTTTCATCCATCTCCAAGTTCCGTCTTCGTCATGTCTCCTGCCATACCTGGGCACCGACCGAAGGGAATTATGATCGGATTCCCTAAAATTCCTTGAACACAACTGACATTTGATAAAGCCCTCGCACACTTCTGTGGTAAAATATACACCCGATATAATAAGCAGATGGACCCTACACCAATCCTTGAATATGTTGCCCGCCAGCTCAAGCGCAACATCTCCGTTGATCTCATAGTTCTTCAGCAGCTGATCCAGTCAATGGCCGGTATAAATCCTGAGATCAATCTCAATGATGCTCAGCTTCAAGGATTGGCTGGTGGGGAAAACTTGAGGAAGCAGATTCTCAAGGCGTTCCGCGACTCCAAGGCTGAGGACACCCCCGATACCGTGAAGACACTCACATACACCCTAACTAAATCTGGGCTTGCTACACAGCTTCTTATCCTTATCGCTCAGGAGAGGCAAACGTGTGTGTTCAGGCTGGATGAGGACGGCGCACCACTGAAGGTTCTTGGAAACTTGTTTGACGAGATCCACGTGGTACTTAGCCAGTATCTGGATCTACTCAACACGGGATTGCCAGCGGAAAAATACGAAGAGATCATCCCCAGTGTTAGTAAGCTATGTCTAGATCTTGGATTGGAGCCTGCGGTAGCATGGTGGATTGTGAGGAACGCAGTGAAGAGTAAGATGAGAAGAGTTGAATCACCGGAGGTCGACGATGTGGAAATGAAGGATGCTGAGGATGCGACATCTGTAGTGGAGAAGAAGACACCTTGGAACCCAGTGTTGGAGAAAATCATGGCGGAGGTTAAGCCAATCTTGCCAGAGGATGTTTGGTCGAAATTCAGCTTGAGCTTCTACGTCACATTTTGGCAGCTTTCGATCTATGATATCCATGTTCCGATGGAGGCGTATCAGACGGAAACTAACAGGATAAATGCCGCTGTGAGGGCGCTTGATAGTGATCGTTCTGACTTGTCTATTTCCGGAAGGCAGAAAACTAGGGAACGGCGTGAGGAGCTAATGGCTACTAGTGGCCGATTGTCTGCTGAGCTTAAGCTCCATATTCGCGACCATAACCTCGCGAGACGAAGACTGGTATCGGAGAAGGATCATTGGTTTGCTAGCGACCACTATGACCAACGCGAAGTTACAAATCACTTCATTCAGTACTGTCTCCTCCCCCGCATAATGCTTTCACCCAACGACGCTTCTTTCTGCTCGAGATTCATCAAAGACCTCCACAAAATGGGGACACCAAAGTTCCATACGATTGGCATCTACGACGCCATCTTCGGAAAATGTCTCGGCGCTACGATCTTCATCTGTACCCAGCGCGAAGCTGAAAACTATGGCCGCTTCCTCAAAGAAATCATGACCGATCTTCATGCCTGGCATGCTGACCGTGCTCTCTATGAAGCAAACGCGCTTGGAAAGAACCTTTGCGGGTTTAACGTCAAGGGCCATCCATTCGACTGGGAAGACTTCAGGAAAATATTGTACAAGTGGCACAAGACTCTTCATAATGCGGTGAAGAATTGTCTTAGTAGTAAGGAGTACATGCATATCCGGAATACCGTGGTTGTGTTGAAACATGTGCACATGTTTTTCCCTGCTGTTGACTGGATTGGAAGGACAGTTGTGGAGAAGGTTGAGGAGATCGGAAGAGTTGAGAAGAGAGAAGATTTGAAGATTGCGGCGACCACGCTTCTCGGGCTACTCAAGAGAAGGGAGAGTGAGTGGGTCCTTGTTGCAGGGTTTCAAAAGGTACGTGTATCTTGTGTCTGTGGGGGTTGGTATTTAAGATGCGATGGCTTTTAGCTCGGTGGCAAATTCGGCTAAGCGACGACTTCTTGTCTGATTTGTCTTCGTACCTACCTACCCGCTCTGCGATTTGTTATCGAGAAACGGTGGCTGTTTTTTCATTATTAGTTTGTTATTGTTATATATGAAGCTGGGACTAACTCTTGCAATTTATAGGGCGCCAAGAGCGAGGTCCTCACTCCTGCGGTATCAACAAAACCCAGCCCATCGCCGGCTACAACTCCTGCGCAGCCAGTCTCCTCGACTACGAGTACTAAGTATGATTCCTCACCGCTTGCCGGCACCACCAAGGCCACAAAGACTGATTCGGATGCTAGTACTCCCTTGACTTTACCATCGAAACCAGAGGCAGAGAAGGAAGATGGAGAGATTGACGACAGCACCAAAGGCGGAAAAGGTGATGGGAGGAGAACGGTTCTTTCACCACAGAGTGCGGCGGATGCGTTAAAAGACACTCGAAGAGCCCCAAATCTACCTGCTAGGCCAGGTCCCATCCCACCGCCGATCAGGCGCGGTCATTCAAGAGAGCCACCTAGACCGCAGCAGCAGCAGCCGCAGCAAATGTCTAATGAGCCCTCAAGGGTTGGAACACCGAGGAGGGACGATCCTATGCCGATTCGGGGCGCTGCTCAGCAAGACATGGGTATGAGACAACAGAATGTGGCACCAAACAACAGAAATATTGCACAAAGAACCCAGCCCCAGCATCAACTTCCTGACCGACCACAGCATCCACAAGATACAAGACGATCTGACTTAGAGCGGAGAGATCCAAGAGACCTCGTAAGAGATCCGAGACCCGGCCCTCAGGTTGAGATTAGAGGGAGATTGGGTCCTGGTGAGAGGTTGCCGGAAAGACCGGGACCTGAGAGGAGGCCACCAAGCCCAAGGAGGGATGGGAGAGATGTCCGTGGGGTAGATATGCACAGAAGGGATGTTGAGCGACCCCCGAGGGGAGGAAGGGATGAGTCGTTCCAGAGGCCAGCACTCCCGAGCCGTGACGAGCGAGGTGGAAGAAAAGAGCCTGATCTTCTTCGCGGAAATGACACACCAATCCGACAAAACCAACCGCCGCAACAAACACCGCCCACCAGAATGGACACAAGAGTTCCCACACCCGACCAGGACCGTGCAAGGAGGGGCGAGAGAATAGAGGAGCGCGGAAGAAGACATGACCAGCCAAGGCATTCGGATCCCATGAATGTAGATAGTCCGGAACAGCAGCGTCGCGCCAACTCCGAGAGAAGACCCGAACAGACAACACCCAGACAAGAGGAATCCCCACATCTGCAAAGACCACCTGCTGGGCCGAGAGCCGATGTCGAGAGGGATAGGCGAAACCGCCAACAAGTTGAGGCGGGGCCGCAGACACCTAAGGAGCGTGATTTATTTACCGCGCCAATACGTGCACCTTCTGGCCCGAGTATCCCGGACCACCGCGATCAACGACATGTTCCGATCCAGCAGCACCATCAAGATCCGAACCACGGTAGATTGAACCCGCCAGATTTGATTATTCCCAAAGGACCGCGAGAGCCCAACCCGCCGCATGGACCGAGACGTGGACAGGTCTGGGTTGCTCCTGGGGTACAGTCCCAATCGATTCCAGGCCCTGGGGGACCTGGGAGAATATTAACCACGCCTATCGGTGTGCAGCCCTTGTCTTCCCCGAGTGATAAGCCTATGGCTTTGAACTTGCCGAATGATAAGTTCGAAGGGTCGCAGCAGAGTCGTTCTGCACCTTCCACCCCGGGAGTGGATATTTCTGGCATTCATCCCGATAGGTTGAGGGCTATGACCGGGCTTGAAGCTCCGCAGATGATGGGCGCGAACGCTACACCCGTGAACCCCCGACCCGAATCTCGAAATGATGACGGGAGATCAAGGGGAGATAGAGACCAGAGGCAACAAGGTCAAGGAAGACAGCAGCAACAGCCTCCCCCAGTTCATCCAAGCCGCATACAAAGCATTCAGGTCACGGTACCTTCCGGACCTCGAGGTGATAACGCAGAATCCACTTCCACATCTCCGATCACTGGACCGTCCACCAAGCCAGGATCACCGCCCACAGGGCCTTCCACGTCCAGGCCAGAGAGAAATGATACCGAAACACATCATCAGCGTAGACGTATGCAAGCTATGCAGAACGTCCTTGGTCAAGCTATGGATCCGGCTCCAGCAGGTCAGGTTATTCGTGGGCGTGCTCGTCGTCCCAATGGCAACGCTGCCGGTGGGGGTTCTACTTCTGGTCGCGACTCGGGGCGAGACTCTGGTCGGGGATCACAGTCTCAACCTCAAGTCCCTCCTCCCGAACCCTCCATGCTAGGCTCCGGAAGGCGGGGAAATATGCCAGAAGGGGGGAGCAGGAGAGCTAGCACATCTGCTGCGGTAGATGCAGTATCTCACAGCGGAAGTGCCGAGGAGAGGCCTACTAGTGACCACGGAAGCCGTAGTGGTCGTCATGGTCGTGATCGAGACGGTGGCAACGGAAGAGAAAGAGGCGCTGAGAGAGATCGGGAGCGTGGTGAACGCGAACGTGGAATGGAGAGAAGGGATAGAGGAGACGGAGAGCGCCATCTTGAGCGTGAGCGTGAAAGAGGTGAACGGGAGCGCGGTGAGCGCGAAAGAGGGATGGAAAGAGACCGTGGATTGGAGCGAGACCGTGAGCGAGACCGCGTTGCGGAACGGGTTGAACGGGTTGAACGGGTAGACTCTCGTCGTGGCTCTGATCGTGGTGGATCCTCCACCGATAGAAAGGACCGTGATAGAGGCGTTGAACGTGTTGAGCGTGTTGACCGCGGAAGGGGCGGTGACGGGGAGCGTGAACGGGAACGCGATAGAGAGAGGGATATCAGAGAAAGGGACAGAGACCGTGAAAGCCGCGATCGTAAACACCGTAGAGAAGATAGCGGCGTGCGCGGAGACGGTAGGAAGGGAGATGAGGTTAAAAGACGTAGAAGAGGGGGCGGGGATAACTGGGGCGGGAACTAAAAAAACTGGTGATAAGTCATTTTCTTTCATGTACAGCATTTTCTTTTCTCTTCTCCTTTTCATTTAGTCTTATTCCACGTTGTGTGCGGTCTCAATCTTTATGTTCCCTTATATATCATTAGCAGGGTGTTGTTGTTAGCATAAGTGGATGCATTATGCATTTATAGTTCCAGTTTCTTTCTTTCTTAGTTAATTTGAGGGCGTGTTTGGAGGGGAAGAAAAAAATAAGTATTCTGATGTGGAATGAATCAAAATTTGGACAACAATGTTTTGGAAATGCTTACTATCATTTGAACGAGTGATCATGATAAGGACGACCTTTAATTCCTTTTTCAAATGCCATTCCCAACTAACTCAGCGCACCATTACCACAGACACAATCCCTAATTGCAACAACCAAATTTCAAGTATCCATCTCCACCACCACCATGCAAATCTAGCAAATACCTCCCCGCTTATTCCGCTGGCAAGTTGACCAGCAAATAGTCCATTCGGTGCTGAATTGCCTGCAATACCGCTTCGATATACTCCATCTCTTCCTTAAGATCTTCCTTCTTTGACACAATCTCGCTCCATCTCTTTTTCTCAAGTATGATGGTATCTTTGACGAGACTCCTCAGGGCTCCTCTGATGCTCTTAGGCCTATAGACAAACTTTTCGAGCTCTTTGAGCTGTTCCTCGAGGACGTTGTATTTGCGTTTCTCTTCTGTAATAGCGTCGACCCCAGGGGCGGCGAGATTAAGACAAGCATTTATCAGATTTGGGTTAACGATCCGAATTGGCTCAACTTCCGGATTCACGTTAACATTGGTCATCGTGAGAGGATGTATGAGTATAGAGAGATGATGTATGAGGTTGACAACGATGGATAAAGGATGGATGAGCGGTAGAATAACGTCTTTAATATATTAGCAGGCGGATTTCAAGTATCCTATCTTCATCGGATGAAAATACTTGGGGGAGCAGAGGATTTCAAGTACCTATAGATATACGATATCGTTTCAAGAAACTCAGAAGATATTTGTAAGATTGCAAGAGACTTTTTTTTTCTTTCTAGCGGGCTCGTACCGGGTATTGTGAAAGGAGTGGGGGACCGTGGTGGAATTTTGAGAGCGAGTGATCAGCTGTGATTGAGTGCACACGGGGCCTGCGTGATGTTCTACAGCGTCCCGTAAGAATTCAAGGAGGGTTGGCGCGTCCATCAAAGCCGCCTCGCTAGCAAGTTTACAGGGTCGGAACGCCATATTGAATTCTCAAGGTCTATATAGAATTCTTAAACCCGTTGGCTTGATTAAGGGGCTCGAGATATTTTTATGTACTTACACTTGAAATTAGAGAAACGTTGGAAACCCGAGCGTCAAATACTTCAACCGGGGTCATACAGAAAAAAAAATTGGATCTTAATACTCTTCCGCGTCGCTGTTTCTTTTGCTTATGCTCGGGAGATGGTACCAGTATTCAAATCTGTAGTTTGAGGATACAACATTCGTAGCCACAAGACTACAAGTTTCTTAACTGCATGTACACAGTACTATACAGTACTTCTTTCTTGTGTAACAGTGGCATTCCGTCCCTCCAAACTATTGCCTCGGAATAAACACTACATGTATTGTACCGGGGGTTAACTATAAATACCGAGAATCTGATAAGATAAACACACCTATTTCACAGCAAGATTCTCTTATCAGATTCTTCGTATTTACCCTCAACGCCCGGTACATGTCCTGCCAATAACACTCCGGCGTACAGGTAGTGATGGGCACGAGACTTGAGGTCTCGAGACCAGGTCTCGAGCTTTCCAAACGAGACAAGACAAGATCAACGAAATTAGTCTCACGATTATCATGAGACTATTGTGGGTTGGTCTCGAGACGTCTCGCGAGATCATTTTGGACCCTTTGAGAAGGTTTTGGAGGGATTCTACTTTTTCGAGGGAGATAATTCTTCCACGAGATGATAATTTTTCCTATATTTCGCCTTTTTCCCAAAGCCTCGAGACCTCTCGAGACTTTGCAAAAGGTCCCGAGATAAGACGAAACCTACTACCCCTAAACACAAGACGAGACGATACCACCCTAAATGTGGTCTCGTCTTGTCTCGTGCCCATCACTACGTACAGGGCACGGGGATATAAGTAGGCTATGTTTCCCCCTTCCTTCCTTCCTTCCTTCCTTCTTCTCTCCGGCTCCCCAGAATCGCATTATATCTTCGACTAAATCCATCTAACATAAAACCGTCAAGTATTCCACATGCGGCGACCTACCTAAACACACAAATAAAGAAAGTATTGGTTCCCTTCACCTCGGAACAAGCCAGGATAATTGTTCTGTCTGGTTTTTGGACGAGAGTTGAGCAATATGTCTTCGATTTCCTTTTCTGGACTTGAGGACATACGACTATACCTGAGGGGGTATAAACATGTAGGCGGCGAGCATTCGAGGGCACCGGGAGCAGCAGTTATGCACGTATGCATGTTGACACACTGAACATGTGAGGAGATCGGAATTCAAGAAGAAGCAATATCAGCTGAGTTAGTGAGAGTTGTTCTAGTTTTTTATGGACTGATGAACTCAACTTACCATTGGTGTCATTAGCTATAGTGAGAAGGTTCGACGACTCGGATCTTGCGTCTGCTTCATATAAATGTCAGGTCCGGTCACCCTACATACACCTGTTGGAGACGTATGTACAAATTAGCTCCCCAGTTGAAGATGCATTGACATTGAGTTGATGAATAACCAGGAAGAACCAAATGAACCGTCATAAATTGTGCGCGAAACCTAGTCGATGGATGTATTTCTGTCTGTCGCTTCCCAATTTGGTCCCAGCCTGTCTAGTACTGGGGGTTCTCTACACAAACAGGGTCCGGTATATACTTAATATATAATCCTCATACAGCACGAGAAGAGTACTTATACTTATGTAAGCTCCCCGTCATCAATCAAGACCTTTATACTCTACACGACTTATACAATGATGGATGATGGTATAGTTGAGATGATCTGGCGTTCCTAGACATGTGGTTAGCCAATCAGCTGCAGCTGGCTATGCATCCTCACTGTCTCAAAGGTACGTCACGACCTTCGCAACAGCACCTCAACGAATCAAGCGCCTTCTTCAGCAGTGGGCATAAAGAAACGCCCCCCCCCCCCCCCCCCCCGGGGATCTTCCCTTATATTCGTCACTGGAGGCCTTCAATGATGTCCCTTAATTTCGCTGACATTGAACCTTTCAACTTTTGAGGGAGTCACATGGTGCACCGTGCACCTCCCGGAAATGCGTAGCCTGCAGTTCTGGGAATTTGCCGGGGGGTCAGTTAAATATAAACATCAGCTATATCGCTATCCTACGTCTAATTATAACGCAGGGTGTTTTTTTGAGGTAAATCTCTCGGTTTATGGTCTCGCCTGAGAAGCGTTCGGTGCTAGTTAGACCTTGATATATGTATTTATGTTCTAGTATGGAACCTGCGGGTGCTTAAAAGGGATGAGTAGTTGACTTTCCTTGTGTGCAGGGTTGATGACGCTCACTTAGATATATATTCTCCTCAGCTCTCGGGTCTACATAGGGGCAACACTCAGCTAGGACATTTGGTCGGGTGCTCGAAGATGATGCTCGCAATTACCATGCTCGCAATTACCTTGGCGGGACGCAGATAAATTGTGCTGGCTGGGTAGGCTGGGGCTTCTGTTGAAAGTTACTTTCCACCAAAGGACTTAAAGATTCTTAGACTCTCCGAGAGAGATCAAATTATAGTCACCAGTGCTCACTCGACGACTGGACTGCCTGTCCAGGGGGGTGACTGGGATCCTCAAACGGGTCACTTGCGTGGATGATACATGTAGTCGAGAGAAGATACATGTATACATGTGAGTAGAAGTGTATAAGTTCTCTTTGATATAATGTACATGTTTACTGATAAGGGAAGAAGAACAGTGTATCATGTGGTATCTACGCCCAAAACAAAAAGGAAAACATGCCATAAACCAAGGAAATAATCAAGAATTATACCGCCTAAAACATAAAGACATAAGAAACAACATCAAGGTCTTTTATATCACCCACAGTGCCACAGCTACGGCTACCACCGCTCCGACCACTGGTATAACCCTCCTCTCCGCGCCAGAATCGTTCTGCCCGCCACTTGTCGAACCCCCACTATTTGAGCTCGACGCACCCCCAGCTGAACCCGCCGGCATCGTGGACGCATCCGACACATCATGCTTCACAAAGCCCGGGAGCCACTCCGCAAGCGCATTTATAAACACCGTATGTGCGATATTGGCTCCAGATACCGGCCCACTCGGCGGCCTACTCGTATCTCTCACCGCTACCACATCGCCCAGATCCGGGCAATGAAACCCGCCCGGCACAACAAATCCAAACACATCGTTATCAGGCGGCGCCGTTCCATTCCCTGGAATGTCCGTCGTGGCCGGGCGCCTTGGTGCCTGGTCAGTGGTCGAATGCGGTGTGACGCTCCGCCATGGATCGAACTCGCCGTCGTTCCACATCACGTTGCTCGGGTTCATGTTCCATCCACCGTACCTGTCGTTCAGCGGTGCTGTGTTTGGGCCGTTCTTCATGCTGTTTCCAAAGTAGGAGACGCAGTCCTCGATCCAGGAGTCGACGGATTCGATCTTTGGGAGGAGTGACTCGGGGCGTGAGGCGTTTCCGACCTGGAAGGCGCCGAACTCGGAGCATACTTGCCACTGCCATGAGAGGTTGTTGATGGCCTCCTCGCAGTAGGACTGGTCGCGGAGGGAGGAACAGTCACGGCTGGCCAAGACGTCGGTCATATTGGCGCCGACCGGGGGGATCTGGTCTTGGGTGAGAAGATTGCTCCACATTTCCCGGATGACTGCGGCATGGATGTCGAGGGCGCTGTCGAGCTCAAAGTTTTGAAAGACGCCGGTGGAGTTGGCGTCGAAGTTGCGGAGTGAGCCCGCTGCTTCGAGTTGGAGTTGGTTGCAGAAGTACCCAAGCCAGCCGTCCATTCCAACATACTGCGCATCAAGAGTCCCGTTAGCATCGGATATCTACTGCTACATGTACTACTCCTCCCCACAAAAACAACAACCAGCAATAACGGCCAAAATACACACCTGAAAGTCCTGGAATACAGCTCCTACCGCCGCCCTCACGTTCGTCTTCCGATCCAGCCACGCATCACCCTCATCATCCCAATGGAAATACCTCCACAGCGCCGTCCCCTCCGCCCCCGTCACCCTCCCTAACCAATTATCCACCGCCGTCGCATTCTGCTTATCAAAAGCGTCATTCAACCACGCATTAAAGCTCCTCATATCACTCGAGCAGTTCCCCCACCCCTGCTCGTCCATCGACCTTTCCACCGGCAGGAAATACTGCCAAAAGTTCTCCTGCAGCTGCACCACCGCCGACGACGCCAACGACGCATGGAAGATGTCAGGATTGCGTAGACGGGCCCACGCAGCGCGCGCGCCGGGGTACGAGCCCCCGACAAACACCCATGGCGTGGTGGATGGGTGGGCGCTGGCATTGAAGGTGCGGGCGAAGACGGCGACGTCTTCGAGCGCTTGTTCGATTGTGTGGTGGGCGAAGTAGGTGCTGAGCTGTGAGGGGGTGAAGCTGAAATTGGAGGAGAATGTGGGGAGGGAGGAGCCGTAGAAGCGGTGCTCCCAGAGGATTAGTAGCCTGTTGCGGGGTGGGGGGTTAGTTTTCACTACTATGACCAGGAAATAATAAAGGGAGTAGATATATTATATACCCATTGAAGCGTTCTGCGAAGGACCCGGATGCGCCGGTGGTTAGGTATGCCTCCATACCGTCTGCAGTGGCTTCGCCATTATCGATAACTATATATTCACCCGCCAACCAATCATTAGCCCCCGCTCCCTTTCCACTAGTCCACCCTTCCACTTCCGGTACTAAGTACTTACAAAACACAGGTCCTCCAGGCTGATAAAATGTCTCATCCACCCAGTATCTATTCCAGAATGTCTCACTATTCGAATCCGTATGGTCCAGCGGCAACTCAATATACAGCGGCCCCGAGAGCGCCGACGTAGCCCGTTTCTTCGTCGTGTCGACTGGCGGGTGCAGACGGTCTTTATTTACGAGCTTGTGCAGCGACACGGGACTGAGGCGGTTGGATACTAGGTGGTCTGTCTCTGCATCTGTATCTTCTGTGGTAGGAGCGCATGTAGCTGTCTGTGCGAGGAGCAGTAGGAATGGCAGGAGGAGGGTTGAGGTGGTGAGGTACATTTTTGTATACTCCCGGGCAGCGTGGGCAGGCAGACAGGTACAGATTCACCGGCAGGCACAGGAAAAAGTGCGTGGGGAAAAGCGTGGATATATAGCACCAGTTACTTTTTTATTTGCCAGCTAATTATGAAGCACGAACCTACCCCCTACTCTACTCTAGAAGCTAAGGGTGGGTGGGTGTGCAGATGATCATTTACTCTACATCCAGCGTCAAGTACTCTAGGGTCTCCTCCGCAAACCCTTCCCTCCCTTTCCCCCAGGCTAGGCTGTGTTTCTGTTTCTTGGGATCCTTCTCTAATTTGCAATGACACAGCGAGTAGCACAAGTGGGTGACAGCTGCAAGCCACCCTGAGCTAACGCAAAAAGCAATCATTGGCAAAAGAGCACTTATTACAGCTGGCTTCAGAAGATGCAATTATTAAGCATGTACCGCAATTGTAAGGTGTGCTGCTGGTTCCGGAGAGATTATGAAGCCTGAGGCTTTTGCACTTTGCCATGTGTTTAGGCCAATGGGATGCTCCGGTTTGGATTGATGTAGAGTAGCAAGAGGGAGCAAGCGCTTGGCAGTTCCCGAGTAGAGTCAAGACCCCTGGGCCCTGACCCCCGTTATATTAACAACGGTCTTGCTAGTTCAGTTCACTACTAGTACACCGCCAAGTAATCTTTCTCTATCGATACATGTAGTTATACTTGAACTCTAATCGAAGGAATCTATTCTATACTCTACACTTCTTACCCCTCGATATAGTCCCATACAGAGAGCGAACATAGTTCAAGCAGAGCCGAGTTCGTCCTCTAACCTAAACCTTCTATTGGTTATGCATATTTTACACCCTTGTGGGTATCGTGCCGGGTTTTCCGACCGCCACTCACCATGTGCTTCTTGGGATCCATATGGGCTATGACTCGGCTGCCTGGTAGCCCCCTGCCTAAAGAGGACGCGCTGGATTAAAGGGTAGAACTTGGAATATCGTTGCTGCCTCTAGTAAAGAAAAAGGGATCTTGGAAGAACTGAGGACCTTGGGCCACAAGATCGATATTAAGAGCTTGAAAGCGATGCTCCCGGTCTGAGACAGATGAGATGATGCAATTATTTCGTGCGGTTATCACGGTGCGTTTTCCCTCTTTAAATGACTCTCAGAGAGGTCTTGAAAAGAGTATCAAACTCGGCATCGCCGGAGAAGCCAGTACCCGGGAGTGACTCTGCCAGATAGTTGACAATGCATTTGATTCGTCCTTCAGCGACCCTAGGAAATAGAGCCGCAATGGGTAGGCCCCGAGGCTAGGAATTCGAACTAGTGATCCATAGTCGATACTTTCTGAATAGGAACCTCAAAAGGACAGCAGTTATGGCAGGCCTGGTATCGTACCGTATCGAATTGCTTGGCCCAATATCTACTGCACAGCCTCCGGGTAGAAATAACTGCACATATGCCAGATAGTTTCAATAGCCAGATTAACAAGAGCCCCCGGGACAAATCAACGGCTCCGGACCGAACAACACGTTAAAAGTGACCCACCAGGCGGGGCTGGGGAACCGGTCAATCAAGCTACTCCATGTCCTACCTGCCCTTTTGTGCGACTAGTGCGGTGATACAATACGAGCTCACCAGTGGCTAGGGTGGCAGGGGTGCGCACGCGGTGATGCATGTACATCTACCTATATATCTGGTTAACGTTTATCCGTTGCTTGTTTTGCATGTGTTGGATGTGGTTTCATGGAGTACAGGTTGCGCGTTTCGTGGCATCCCTGCAGCTGCGAGTAACTGGAGACAGTATTTAGTAGAGTGATGATGTGTATGTATTCGATACAATCGATACAATGGATAGAGTAAATCAAAGGATCTTTGCGGAGCGACAGATACGGTCTACTGTCGTTCACGGGGTATTGGGTGTTGACGGACAAGCCAAAAGAGAGACAGCCAAGCCCAGTTTTGCCTTCAATTATTGGTCAAAAGGCACCTGTCCATCAACACCCAGTGTCCGTCAATACCCCGTGAACGACAGTACCCTCTATCCTCTCGAAAACGCCTTTTTCTAGGCCTCAACCAAGCTCATAGGTTGCGACAACCCCCCCATAGCTGTAGAGTAGTCGCAGCCAAGCATTAAGGCAAGGTCGATCCCAATTCTTGGGCCCGTAAGCAGCTACTTCCGCGGTCGCATATGGTGCCCCAAAGGTAACAGAAAAACGCCAAGCCTCGAATAACTTTTCAACCACAACAGATATTAAAAATCCGTACAATGAAACCCTTCTTCATCACGGTATCCAGCTTT